TCAGGTTTGGCGATGTTCATTGGCCTCCTCGGTCCCCAGATTTATCCATATGCGATTTTTTCTTATGGGGACACCTCAAGGCTAGAGTATACGCGAACAAGCCCCGAACTCTGGTCGAATTGAAGGGCGAAATTCGCGTGGAAGTCGCCCAAGTTGAGAGAGCGATGTTGGAGAGAGTCTACGCGAACTTCCAAGAACGCCTCCAGCACTGCATCAACGATTTCGGCCACCACATGCCTGATGTGATTTTCCACACTTGACTGTCTCAAATGCTATTTCCTTGTGAACCTGACTCCATCAATAAATTTGTTTTCGAGTAAAAATTAACTATTTTATGATTTTTTTAAAACCGTCCATCCTCTCTGCCGCACCCTGTATATACTTTCACAATACTGTGCAATTTTTTATTTGATGACATATCTATTTTCTTCGTGATAATATCGTGGAAGAAATTTTTTGAATGTATTATCAATTGGATAGAAGATGAAAGTTCAAGAGTGAGAGCTTTCGGCGAAGATATAATGAATGCAAGATCGGTCCTTTCCTTCATGAACTGGACCTTTTTCCTCAATTTGTTATGGTGCCATTCAGTATTGGGCGTAATGAATACTGTGCAGGTTCAAATGCAAAAGAAAGAAATAGGCTTGATGATGGCTCAAAGGTGCATGTCAACAACATTAAAAAAATCAAAAGATTTTTTTGTTTTTGGCCTTTTAACCGCCACCACTAGACCTATTTTTAAAAACAAATCTTTTGCGTCCTTAGCATAGCAGTAACTTTGTGCGAGAATTTCATCAAAATCCGAGCGGTTCTTCTTACGAGCGGTTATCAGATTAACGGACAGACCCTAAGCAATGAGTGACATGGTTTTTCGTAATGTACATATCATATAACACCCGAAAAACATAATATCTCATTTTCGAAAATTTTCGCGAATACAATACTCCTCCGCCAGTAGAAGTGGAAAGTAAAAACAACAAGATCAACAGCATCAAATTCCTGTGTTGCCAGGTAAAGACAAGTCAACGTCTCTCATCATCATTCCATTCGTTGATCTGTAACTTTAATTACTTTAAGTATAAAACTGCAGTTTTCATTAGTAGCTATTTTTTAATGATGATCAACATAATAAAAATAAGTTCAAGAGCAGATTCCCGTCCATTTTTAAACGAGGATATCTGCCAGTTGATTCCGACACGCGAACGACACTCAATTTTTTTTCTCGATACTATTTCACTAACCCAAATCTAGTTATTTTTCGTGAAAACATTTACACCGAAATGCCTTTGAACGTTGTGATAGAGTTGTGCAAAATAACCAAAGCCAGCAAACTGTTCCAAAGAAACTTCTATCTGCCTCTACTGGAACCGCTATCGCCAAAGGATGCTTTGAGACGACGTTTCGTCGCTAGTCAAACTCAACTTCAGAAGATGGAGCACTACATTCCAGTCCTGGAGGAGTACGAAGAACGCCAAGCCAGACGAAAGCTCATGGTAAAAGGACAGGTCAAAAAGCGACAAAAGAAAAAGGCTAGTATGAAATATGTTACACCTTTGTTAGATGTAAGCATGCCAGGTCACGTCAAGCTCAAAAACATCTTCGCCAGAAAATCTAAAGGCCAAGGTCAATGTTACACGTACCGCGTTGCAGACAAAAATTATACTTTGGTTGTTACCCATCAGATGGAACGAGCTATCAGAGATAAGGAAATTATAGATGTTTTGGTGGCTAACGATAAAGCTGTTTTTGTTTTGAAAAATGGTCAGAAAATTTCAGTATCCTTAATAAACTATGTAGGCGATGCACCCTTTTATAGAGGTGATGGTTGGACAACGAAAGAAATAGAGAAGACTCATCACTGCGGCAAAGAAACTATGGCGACGACGCGTATCTTTGAAGGAAAAGAGCACAGCTTAGAAGAGTGGGAACTAGATATGATCAATATGACAACACTGAGGAAGAAAAAGTCAACATGTGAAGACACTCCATACTGGAAGGCTATGATGACTACTCAATTGCAGAATTTTGACTGGGAGCAATTTGAAAAACAAGCCAAGCAGACTGTCCAAGAGCAATACACTCCAGTTGAAGATGAGCCAATAACAATGAAGGTCAGCAGTATGGAAAGCACAATGAACGTAAACGAAAAACTCCAACATGCTGGTAAACCTGTAATGGAACTACTACCCACAATGCCCAAGATACCGGACGTAATAAAACTTATAAAAGACGAAGGACAACTGACAGAAGTCGCAAACGTTTCTGGTGTGAAAGTGAATTTTATGGAGAAACCTTGTTTTGTTCCAGGCCAAATGGTCAAATTAGATGATAGCGATCTGTTTGTTCCTGGACAAACCATTTTCAATGAGAACGGTGATACCGAATACGTACCTGGTTTCACAGTAACGCTAGAAGGGAAACCAACACTAATACCTGGTTTAGTGATGGGGAATGATCCGGATAAGCCAATCTTTCTGCCCGGAACTTCTACCATAACAGAGTATGGACTCTTGCAGTTCACAGAAACAGAAGATGATCTTCCGCCGGAAATGGATCAGGATAGTGACGAAGAAGACTTTGAGGAGGGGCCTCTACCTCCAAAACGAAAAATGCTCGAGGAAAGTTCTTCCCTGAGACAGCAGCTGAGTGAAGGTAGTTCTAGAGATCTTCCAGACATCATTAAGGATATTGAAGGAAACGATGAACCCGAATCTGACAACGGAGACGAGTCAGACGATGAAAGCGAATCTGTAGCATCCGTGGTTTCAGTGATAGAAGTATGCCCACCTACAGTTACCATTATAAAAGAAACCGAGGAGACAGATAAAGCTAAAGAAAAAGATATGATGGAACACGCACCAAATACAGAAAAGAAACAGATACCATTAGCAGATGAACCGTTAACTATACCCCAACAAGTTGATGAGGAAAAAGGAAAATACGAAATGGAAGAACCTAAGGTGACACAAATAGTACAAGAGAGAATCGAGCATATTATAGATAATTTTAAGGATGGAGATACAAATCAAAACATGAATAAAGTAAATGAATCAGAAAGTAAAGTAAAAAAATTTGAAAAAGAGGCGGAAGGAAAAACCATAGTCAAAGAAACTACACTTTTTCTTGAAACGGAAAAAGACATAAAGGGCGGTGTTGGAGAAAAAACTGCGCCTTTGGAACCTCAACCAGAAAATGAAATAGGCGAGAAGCCTGCACCCTTAGCCTCTTCCAGTTTAACAGACATCACTGAAGCACTCTTAGACAGTCCCATAAAACAACCAGAAGAAAGTAAAAGCTTGACAAGTGAAACAATTAATGAAAAATGTGACGCATCAAACGAGGAGTCTGAAAACATAGGACTTGCGAACAAACAGGCGTCTAAATTATTGGAGAGAAAAGAACAATTTGTAAACGATAAAGAGCTAAAAGGGAAAACAAATGAAAAACCAGTAGAACACCATAAAACAGATCAACAATCTCAAGAAGAACAGGATACAAGTAATCAAACAACAAAATACCAAACGGTAAAAAATGAACAAGTAAGTCCTGAGTATCAGCCTTCAGCAATGGAACATGAAATTGGAGGCCATATCGAGGGAGACCAAACGCAAAAGGTACAAGTACACATTTCAAGAGCACAGCCAGCTGAAGGAAGTGAACCTGTAGTTGGAGATCAAGTTATCAAAGAACACAATAGAAATGAACAAGAAGCAGAATCAATCGATGTCAAAGTACAAACACTCAAAGAGAAGGTACTACATGAAGCTGTGAAAAAACAAGCTGTGGAAAATAGGACCATTGAGGAAAAAGAAGTAATAGCAGAAGAAATGGAGTCCACAAGCAAAATCGATATAGCCAAAAACCAACCCATGAAAGATCAAACTAAAAATGACCGAGAATCAGAAGGAATGGATGATGAAGTACAAGCACTCAAAGAGATAGTACTACCTGAAGCTGAAAAGAAACAAGCTGTGGAAAATCGGACCGTTAAGAAACAAGAAATAGAGTCTGCATCCAAAATTCATGTAGCCAAAGATCAAGTGGAAAGCGAGGCTGAAGAGAAACAAGCTTCGAAAAACGCTACTGCGAAGGAACAAGCACCTAAAGGACGATTAGACAAAGGTCGAGATGTGCGGGCTGCAGTGGAATCTGCACCAAAAATACATGCAATCAAAAACCAAGTGGAAAATCAAGGCGAAGATGAAGCGAAACAATCATCGAAAAATCGAAATTTGGGTGAGCGATCAGTTAAAGGACAAGTTGAAACTGAACCAAGAACTAAAGGGGTCTTGGAGGAGCTAAATACGAACGACAGAAAAACAATGGAAGAACAGGTTGAACATAAGCAGTCGGCAAAAGATCGGGAAACAAAATTACTTAATGAAAATAAAGAAGATGAGAAGAAAGGCGATCCAAGAGAACCATCGCAAGATAGTCGGCCTTGGTCATCAATAGTGAAAGAGTTCATTGAAGTTTCTGTGGTCGTTGCCGGTTGTTATTTCATAAATAAACTTGGCAAAAGCTTTTTCAATATACATATTTGATTAAATAAAGTTTTAAGTTTTTCCGTAATGTGTGAGTATTATTTTTGGTCCGTCTTCTCTTCAATTTCACTGTATGATTTTAATAAACAAAAAAGATTTATCTAATTTCAAAACATAGGAAAATATCTTAAACCAGTAAATACGAATTGACTATAGCGTATATTTACTAAATATTACAAATGATAAATATATTCTTTTTATTTCGTTCTATTTTAAATTGTGGAGGGTTTAGGTTTTCAAAGTTCTTTTTTAATGCCATTGAACTAAATTCGAAACCGATGACATATCTTACGATTTCAAATCTCTTTGAAGACTTATTTGCCTACCGATAAATATAAAAACCAACTTCCCGGGGATTTGAATGGTGGGGGCGGGGCGGTTTTTAGAGGTGCGCGTCTGCATTCGCAAAATATAGCAATATGTTCGTTTTCATTGGAAAACTAGTATATTTGAACGTTTATATATAAAACGGTAGAAATTGAGCATTTTGCAGTAGAACAGTAGCCGAAGGCTCAAATCGTCTGCAGTCCTGTCCTGTTCACCGACCACCGATGCGTCAAGTGAAATGACGTTTCATGACATGGAATTTTGAGGTTATCTGGCAATCTTCGCTGTTTGTTTGTTGGTTGTTTTCTTCATTATTTTACAGTTAATTCTACCGGTTTATACAAGCTTTGAGGCATAAAAACTTAATTGTGTGCTCCTGCAATTATATTTCGGTTCGAAATTGTGACTTCGTCTCAAAGATTCCAATTTACCGCTTCAACCTGACAGGTGAGCTCCACGTGAGTGCTAGTGATTCTGATACCTAACAAAAGTGGCTTTTCGGACGATTTTCCCGTGAAAACTGCATCCGAGGAGCTTGCGCAACACTTTATGACATCGGTGTAGTCCGTCACTCTTTTTTCAGGGGTCGGCAGGCAAAAAGACAAGGTTAGTATTCCATCTTTTAAACATATTTTATGAAAAAGATTAGCCTGGTTTAACAAAATACCTAATTGTATATCAAAGGTAAGCCCATAAATATTCTATTATAGCTGATAAATCTTGTTTTTCACATGATTTTTCGATATGCAATTTGACCCATGGAAGTGCAATGTGTCTTACATAATAGTTCCACTGATAAGCTTAAAACTTGTATATTGTTACTAATGTTAAGCTTATTGTACCCAAGAAAGTGATATTCTTGACCTTCAGTAAGGGGTACAGATACTCATACACTTGAATTTGCTGCAGTATAATAGTTTTTTCAGGGCATAAAGTACCTACTCAGTACTGCAAAATATGTACTAGTATGATGGCGAATTATGGTAAAGACCTTTTGTCTTAAATCCACAGGTTTCCATCAGCAAAAGTTATATTTGGGCATGCAAAATTCAAGTTGATTACAACTGACCAACTTGACCCTCAATGGGCAGTGGTTGGAGTTTGTGCACCTTACTTACAACTCAGTACCGTAAATAGCTTGGAATGATGTACAAATGGCTTTCAGGTAACCAAAGTACATCTCAGATGATTAATTACTCTCCTCCTGGTGCAAAATATGGTAGTGTTATTTTAAGAACTTTGCCCTTCAAAAGATATGAAATATATGAAAATTGTGCATATTATCAACCAACATTTCCTTTTACATAATGCCTGTGTCTTTGTTGTGACTAAAAGTAACTTGAAACTAGTTTCAGGAGAGGTTCAAAGTCATACTAGACTCTAGGGAGATCATCTATAAGTATTTGACACTTGCACTGCTCATCAAATTGTCATATGAATATGGGTGGAAGATACAGTATTTGAATTTTCCATGTCAGCTAAAAAATTGCTCATTTTGCTTGCATATGTCACAAGACCATATGATTTGACAGGCTCAGATATTATTTTAAGTTTGACAGCTTTTTTTGGTACCAGGGAAAAATTTGTGGACAGGGAGATGACATTTAAACTAAATGTGATATAAATACCATTAGCTGAATAAATTCAATAGTTCTGTATGAAAAAATATGTCAGGTTCAATCAGTCTTGAAACAAGATAATCATTGAGACTGACAGATCATAGTCCCTCTAGGTAAAGGTTGTGTTTTGGAGCTAGATAGGGGGTCGTCATCGATGCTTTCATTGCTTATATTTTTTATTTAAAAAAGGACAAAAAGTAGAATGTAGAGAAAGAAGAAGAGTAGAAAAAGCACTGACATAAAAACTACCAGAGATGTGACACCAGGGTAGTGACCTAGAAAAAATTAAGATTCTTTATATTATTACATGTATGTGTACATAAATTTTTTGTTTTTACTTAGCTTTAGTAATGTACCAATGATGTTCACAAAAATGTACTTACCTGGGTTAATATTGGAAATACTGGCAAAAGGGTATCTGTTAACACTGGTTTCACTATTCCAAATCATGCAAGTCTCAAAACTATTATTTCATGAATTGCTTCACATTGATCCATGTCAAATCACTGAATTATCGCACTTACACAAAAATATGCGATTTGAAAAAGTCGTTTTTTTATGAGTTTGTACAAATTTCCAATATCTCTTTTCATGAAAATATGTTATAATGTGTATGTTGGAATACAAGCAGTATCTATATATTGTTATACCAGTCACAATATACTGTGATTTGTAGTGAAATTCGGAAATGAAATTTGGAAGGTTTATGTCTAGGATTTATCAAATTTTCAAGATTTTTTTGGCGGAACATTGAAATCTCAAATAATGTGTATTCACCCATATATCTTCAAAATATGTTTTTTCATGGTATACTCCCACCGTATTTTTTTGAGCATATACTTTTTCCAGGAAAGTCATGTTTGTCCGGTTTGGTGCTTTTGGCAAGTTGCCTGCCGCAATCACTCAAAATGCGGTTGTGGACCAACAACAACGTGGAATGGCCACTTTGAAGGCCATTTCAATTCGTCTCAAGTCAGTAAAAAATATCCAGAAGATCACCCAATCTATGAAGATGGTGTCAGCTGCTAAATACTCCAGAGCTGAGAGAGAGTTGAAAGCTGTAAGGCCCATCGGCAGTGGGGCACAACAATTTTATGAGAAAGCTGAGGTGGAGGCTACCACTGATGTACCACAAAAGCTGGTTATTGCCATCACATCTGACAGAGGTTAGAACCATCACTGAATAACTTTTTTATTAAGAAGCTATTCTGATTCCATATGCCTGACCCATGTTTTATATTTTTATTTTGATACAAAGATAAACATTTGCTAAGTTGAGGTCTTCAGAGCTTTGGTAATGTATCTGTTTTAACTTGAATTATGGTATTATTTTTTTAATCTGCATTTTTTGCAAAACAGTCATATATCAAATTCTATTTTTATTTAGGTTATTTCTGATAATCTTATAATTATAAACAAAATGTTTTCTTGATTTAATTATTCACTCATCATGACATTTGACTTCTATTACATAATTGAAAAATAAACATTAAGGGTATCAACCTATGACTTTTCAAATATAAATAGTTTAATTCAGAATTCTTGTCAACAATTTGTTTATTTGGTTTTTCATGTGTGCTGCTCAAATTTTTGCTGTCGTGGTATCAACAATTCACTTTATCTGTTTTATGATTGTGCAGAAATGTTCATTTGTATGGGGTTGTCCAAAACAGACGCAGGAAAGTAAACGCATATTAAAACAAGAAAGATTGATATTCAAATCAAGTTGCGTACTTTAGTTTGAAGGTTCATTTATACCATTTATGTATGAAAAATATCGCTCAAATGTTCACCACGACTGGATTTACAGACGTCCACGCGATGGTCGAAATTTTCAATGACATTTTGCAACATGGTCGGTTCTATGGCATTTATCTCGGCAATGATGTTATTTTTGAGTTCTTGGAGGGTGGCTGGTTTGTTGACGTAGACTTTGCTTTTCAAATATCCCCATAAAAAGAAGTCCAAGGGAGTCAAATCGCACGATCTTGGCGGCCATGGCACATTTCCTCTGCGCGAAATCACGCGATCACCGAAGAAGGACTGCAATTGATGGATATTGACGTTGGTTGTGTGGCATGTTGCACCGTCTTGTTTGAAATAAACATCGTCCATATCCATTCCTTCAAGTTGCGGAAAAAAATAGTCCTCTATCATCACGTGATATCGCTCAGAATTGTCGGTAACGGCGTCCCCGGCTGCATTTTCGAAAAAGTAAGGTCCGATGATGCCTTTTGACCACAATGCACACCACACAGTCACTTTTTGAGGATGTATCGGCTGCTCTTGATACATTCAAATCCTTGTGTGTAGAATGCGGAGCAGACTGGTTTTCGAAATGCCCAATTCTTGGGATCGACGCGTTGTTGATTGTTTCGGATCGTCTCTCACACTCTCCTTCACAACAGCAATATTTTCCGGTGTGCGAACGCTCCTTGGCCGGCCAGAGCCCGGCAGATTTGCCACAGAACCTGTTGCCTCGAATTTACGCACCAGACGACCGATGGTTGTTTCGTTTGGGCGGTTGTTGCGACCGAAATGTTCACGAAGCGCGCGAAACGTGTTTTTTATTTTTGCACCATTTTTGTAGTGCTCTTGAATAACTTTAATGCGGTCTTCAATCGAATACGACTCCATAGCGATCAGTGGTAAGCATGCAACTAACAAAATGACATGTCGGTCACAGAAAACAAAGACGGCGTCTATGTCAAATTGACGTTTACTTTCCTGCGTCCCTATTGAAGAAGTCCAAGGGAGTCAAATCGCACGATCTTGGTGGCCATTGCACATTTCCTCTGCGCGAAATCACGCGATCACCGAAGAAGGACTGCAATCGATGGATATTGACGTTGGTTGTGTGGCATGTTGCACCGTCTTGTTGGAAATAAACATCGTCCATATCCATTCCTTCTATTTGCGGCAAAAAATAGTCCTCTATCATCACGTGATATCGCTCAGAATTGACGGTAACGGCGTCCCCGGCCGCATTTTCGAAAAAGTAAGGTCCGATGATGCCTTTTGACCACAATGCACACCACACAGTCACTTTTTGAGGATGCATCGGCTGCTCTTGATACTCACGGGGATTTTCGTTCGCTCAGATGCGGCAGTTTTGCTTGTTTACCGTCCCATTCAAAGTGAAATGCGGTTCGTCGCTGAACATGATTTTTGATGAAAAATTGGCATCAACTTGGCGGTGTTCAAGGAGCCAATCTGAGAACGTTCGGCGCGAAAAATGGTCGGCCCGACGCAGCTCTTGCGTCAATTGGATCTTGTAGCCGTGTACATTCAAATCCTTGTGGAGAATGCGGAGCAACTGGTTCTCGAAATGCCCAATTCTTGGGATCGACGCGTTGTTGATTGTTTCGGATCGTCTCTCACACTCTCCTTCACAACAGCAATATTTTCCGGTGTGCGAACGCTCCTTGGCCGGCCAGAGCCTGGCAGATTTGCGACAGAACCTGTTGCCTCGAATTTACGCACCAGACGACCGATGGTTGTTTCGTTTGGGCGGTTGTTGCGACCGAAATGTTCACGAAGCGCGCGAAACGTGTTTTTTTATTTTTGCACCATTTTTGTAGTGCTCTTGGGGTCTTCAATCGAATACGACTCCATCGCGATCAATGGTAAACATGCAACTAACAAAATGACATGTCGGTGACAGAAAACAAAGATGGCGTCTATGTCAAATTGACGTTTACTTTCCTGCGTCCCTATTGGACAACCCTTTATAATCAAAAATTGATACAACATCCCTGAATTGCTGTTTTTAAAATAGGTGTTACAGATATCCAATAGTGACATCAAAAGAAGAAAAATCATTTTTCCATTTTCAACCAGATTACAGGATGTTTCGATAGCAAGATTGTGCTCCTTAGATTTCTTTCAAACTTTGACTAATCGGTCTGGAGAAACCGTACAATAGGTCGATCTGCCGTCGTGTGGCGTTATTAGAGGTGATAAGCAGCTCCAAAACTGCGGCCGCTTTCCAAAACAAGGCAAAAAGGAATTTTTTGAACATTAAAACTATGTAATCAAAATAGATCCTAAAACATTGCGATCAAATCTTATAGGAGGTTTATTCCAGTTTTCAGAAATACCTTTACATTCTATGTGAAGGACCCTTTTTCAAAGTCAGATATCTTCGCGCCAAATAATCGTATCGAGTTTTAAAAAACAGCATATTGAAGCTAAACCCAACTAGCAAAGTAGTGTATAAGCTTTTGGTAAAAGAACCGTTCAGCCATAAAAGCTCTCTACTGTTGTTGCCTGAACACAAAAATGGTGGCTTAATGTTGTGTGGAATGCAGATTTACTTTCTGCAACATATTTGCTCTAAAATAAAGTGTTTAAAATATTCTTATAGCATAGTTATACAACACCTTATAGGGCAAATTTTTAACTGTTGCATAAACGTTTATACAACTATTTTATACGGCATATTTGCACGCTGGTCAAAATGGTTGTGTTGTGGCATCCATGGTAACGTTTATAAAACAAACCCGACCGTTGTTCTTTTGCTGTGCAATTTACTACTTTAGCCAACAAATTGCTCCCAACGGAAGCACTTATACAACTGTTGTTTAGTAACTGTTAAAGGCTGTACATATGCTAAATATGTTGGTAAACAACTTCACTATAACCTAACTTTCTGATGTCATATTTTTGTAAAATGCTAAAATGCCATAATCAATGTTTTAAGACAAACAACGCATGCATATTGGTTCAAAAGAATTTATCAACTGTTCAAACAGAAGATATAGATCTGGTACAAATTCTGGGTAAATCATTCGACTCTGTCGGTATTTCATTTCAGACATTTGTCAAATTGTTGTATAACACCTGCAGGCAAGACCAATATATTCTAATCAGCTAAAGACAACATGGACGATGCCATGATTGTACACAACCACCCGCCATATTTGGCAAACATTTATTCCTCTATTTAATATTAAATAATAATGTTTCAGTTCGAAATTACAGATATAAAGTGATGAGCATTAGTGTAATTGTGTCTAAATATAGGATTTGTGGAAGATTTAACGCAGATAAGTTCAGTTTTCCATCTTAAAAATCTAGACATACTTTTGATCATTGTCAAAATATGAATCAAATACGAAGCCCGTAGAAATTGTGTAACTAATTTGCACGATAATCACAATAAAATTTGCTGCGCAAGTAACTCAATAGCCCTATATCACAGTGTAGAAGTTTATCATATACCTGTGTATGAAATTCACAATGGTCGATATGTAAGTAAACAAGATGACTGTAATGTGTTAGTTATATATTCTTCACTTCGTCTATACAATACATAAGAAATAGTTTGGTTGCAATAAAGTAGAATCATGTAACAGAATAGTTGTATAGTTGACAAAAACTGAATCTTGCACTGACGCAGATGTCCTATAGCGGCTTCAAGAGGCTTACACTTTTGTTTTATAACTGTAACCTGCAGCCCTTATTTAACCTCTTAGATGACTGAAGTGTCCTACTAGGTGTGCCCATTCCGCTTGTATAGCTGTTCTAAGAGGGTTTTGCCAATGTTCTTACAGTATACAATGCTGTTTAAGGAATACTGTATAATCATTCTTGAAACTCTAATAGGAGTGATAATTGTTAGTTGGGAATAAACGGATTATCTGATCTATATGATGGCCTAACAGAATACATTTTATTAAAGCTCATGGAGTAAAAAGAAGAAAGGAAAAAATTTACCAAATATCATTTCATGATTAATTTTGACGGATCTCAGGTAACACTGAACGTTTCAGCAACCACCAATTCTTATTGGAAAACCTTCAATCAACTGAAATGAAATAATTTCCGTCATTAAAACAGGTCTTTGCGGTGCGTGCCACACCAGCGTCTCCCGTCACATCCGTAATGAGTTGAACAAGGACGGCGAGAACATCAAAGTGGTATGCGTAGGTGACAAGTCCCGCGGTATTCTGCAACGTCTCTACGGCAAGAACATCATCATGGCCTGCAATGAGATCGGCAGACTGCCTCCCACTTTCATTGATGCTTCCAAACTGGCGGACGCCATCTTGAAGTCCGAATACAAGTTTGGCAGCGGAGAGATTGTTTACAACAAATTCAAGTCGGTGGTGTCTTACAGTACGTCCACCATGCCTGTATTCAGTCTGCAGTCTGTGACGGTGAGTATTACGATTGTAATAACGATCTATATTCCGACAGGTTTGCACCCACTCACAATTATAAGGATGGTATCTCTCAGCTGAGGCATTAGGGCAGTCCAACGAATTCCTACTATACTACAACTATTTAAAACTGTAATGACTCATACGCGTGATCAACACGTGATCAGAGCTCGATCCCGGCTTCCTTCCAGTACAGCCGTATAGCGTACGACATATGTCGTTTCTGTGGCAGAGATGGAAATAATGGCTGATTGTTCTCCGCCGGTAGAATCAATGAAATCAAAGACGCGCCTCGACCGGCAGACTCATAGGCGTCGGCAACGCATTGGAACGTGTTTCGTTGAGCGATCGCATATTGTGTGTTTTTATAAGAATTGTTGTGTGATTGTTATTGTTGTGGTTTTTGTGGTTACTGTTTTGGTTATACTTAACCATGGAGGGTACAAATGGCACGAGTGGAAGTACTGAAAGCCAGGGAACAAGTAGACGGCTTCATTAGGCACTGAAGAGGGACGCGAAAGAAATCGTGCTCAACGTGTTCAATTATCTGAACAGAACTATGTCGCAGGGAGATGCACTCGCGCGTTGTGAAAGTATGACAGGCGTTCCAGAGTGGACCATTCGCAGGGTGGTGCATGAAAAGAAGAAAACTGGAGCTACCTCTGATCCAAAGTTTAATTTAAAGGGACGAAAGGCCGTTAAATTGGATGACGATAGCAAAATGGCGTTAAGGCGAACCGTACATTCATTCTTCTTTAGGAATGAGATACCAACCCTCAAGGCTGTACATGCAGCGATCAAGGAAAATGAAATTATACCCCAAATGAGCGTCGAGGTAATGAGGAAATCCCTGCACGAAATTAATTTTCGTTACGAAACGCGTAATCGGAAGTCAGTATTGATAGAGAGACCTGAAATAGTCGCCTGGCGTCGAAAATACCTACGCGAAATGATTGAATATAGGCGACAAAGCAGAAAAATCTATTATTTGGACGAGACATGGGTAAATGCAGGTCACACAGTTAAAAAACCTGGATAGACAAAAACGTAGTGAGTAACCGACAAGCAAGCATTGAAGGTTTGTCAACAGGTCTTCGTGGACCGTCAGGGAAAGGTCAAAGATTGATCGTAACTCATATTGGTAGCGATAGTGGCTTTTTAGAAGAGTGTGACTTGATTTTCGTCTCTAAGAAAGGAGGTGATTACCATGACGAAATGAATGCCAGCTGCTTCGAGAGCTGGTTTCAAGGGGTGCTTCAGCCAGTTGGGCCCAACTCTGTGATCGTCATGGATAATGCTTCCTACCATAGTCGTCGAGCCGAACGTGTACCGACTATGGGATCTCGAAAAAGTGACATGCAGCAATGGTTGCGCGAAAAAGGAATCCCGTTTGACGATTCATGTGTGAAAGCGGAATTGTATGAAAAAATTAAACAGCACAAACCTGCGAACATTAGTTACGTGACTGATAAGATGGCCCGTCAATGTGGTGTCACTGTGCAGCGGTTACCGCCCTACCACTGTGAACTGAACCCAATAGAGCTCATCTGGGCTCAAGTGAAGGGTTATATTGCGCGCCATAACACAACCTTCAAATTACTAGACGTTAAGGTTTTACTTGAGACTTCCATACAGCTAACAGGTGGGCTGAAAATTCCGTATCGTTTCAATGAAAAAATATTTTTTTCGTCAAAATTCGCTTTTATTATTCAACATAGTTGCCTTCAAGGGCTATACAGCGATTATAACGTTCTTCAAGTTTTTCGATACCCTTCCGGTAGTAATCCTTCGGCTTGTCCTCAAAATAGGCTTCAGTTTCGGCGATGATTTCTTCGTTGCTGTGAAATTTTTTTCCGGTGAGCATTCTCTTAAGGTCTGAGAAGAGGAAATAGTCGCTTGGAGCAAGGTCCGGAGAATACGGTGGATGGGGGAGCAAATCGAAGCCCAATTCATGCAATTTCGACATCGTTTTCATGGACTTGTGGCACGGCGCATTGTCCTGGTGAAACAAGATTTTTTTTTCTTCATTTGTGGCCGTTTCTTGGCGATTTCGGCCTTCAAACGCTCCAGTAACACTATATAATAGTCGCTGTTGATAGTTTGGCCCTTTTGAAGATAGTCGATGAAAATAATTCCTTGCACGTCCCAGAAAACAGAGGCCATAACCTTGCCTGCTGACTGTTGCGTCTTTCCACGTTTCGGAGGTGGTTCGGATGCAGCCGTCCACTCGGCCGACTGGCGATTTGACTCCGGTGTGTAGTGGTGGAGCCATGTTTCATCCATGGTGACGTATCGGCGAAAAAAATCGGTTTTATTGCGCAAAATCACCTCCAAACAGGCCTCAGAGTCGTCGATGCGTTGTTGCTTTTGGTCAAATGTGAGATTGCGCGGCACCCATTTCGCACAGAGCTTTCGCATATCCAAATATTCATGAATGATGTGACTGACACGTTCTTTTGATATGTTTAAGGTCTCAGCTATGTCAATCAACCGTATTTTGCGGTCTCCCAAAATTATTTTGTGGATTTTTTTCACGTTTTCGTCCGTAACGACCTCTTTTGGGCGTCCACTGTGTGCGTCGTCTTCAGTTGACATGTGACCGGTACGAAATTTAGCAAACCACTTGCGAATGGTTGCTTCGCCCGGGGCAGAGTCCGGATAACACTCATCAAGCCATTTCTTGCATTCGACGGCACTTTTTTTCATCAAAAAATAATGTTTCATTAACACACGAAACTCTTGACTTTCCATGGTTTTCAAAAATAACAAAAGTAGCGTCACTCTCGATACGATAACTCAAAAACTAATGATCCGACAGCTGTCAAATTTTGACAGGCATCTTTTGAAGGTTGGTACTAGCTAAGAAGCGTATGGATTTTATTCTGGTGGCGCCATCTCATAGAAACGATACGGACTTTTCAGCCCACCTGTTAGTAACGCCCGAAGCTTGGCAGAATGCTATCCGTCATGTTGTGAAGGAAGAAACAAAAATGTGGCAGCTTGACCACCACATCGACACCTTCATAGAGCCAGTTATAGTCAATTTCAACGAGGAAAGCGATAGCGACAGTTTATTACTGTCAGATGTAAGTGGAAGCGACGATGAATAAAGGTAATTCCCAAATTTTTGACTTGTTTCAAACCACTCTTTATTAAGCATGTGACAAATCTAGTTCACCCATGTTAAACATTCATACCACGCCTATGAACAGCCGACTGCTGGTAGTTAAGTGATGTTCACGTGAACATCGATGAGTCATTACAGTTTTAGATAGTTATAGTATATATAGGTAGAAGAAGCAAGCTTACGATTTGTTTGGAACCAAAATTACGTAGTCAATAATCAGGATTCAAGTTGATACAAGTCTATCAGGCTTAAGCAGCCAGTTTGACAGCTGTGACGTTTCATATTCAATTCCTATTTTTTTGCGAAAACGTAAAAGTGCTTAAGGCAGTTGATGAAAATGGTGAAGGTTTCTGTGGCGCGAAAATCTTTCCGAAACTTTCGACTCCAGAACAGAAAGCAAGCAGGGTTGCCTGCTGTGAGGATTGGTGGGAAGCAGAGAAAAGGGGGGACTTTCTCGACCGGGTCATCTCTGGGGGCGAATCTTGGGTCTACGAATTCGATGTGTATCTGAAATCTCAATGCATGGGGTGGAAGCAAGCAGGGGAATCGAAAATTAAGGTCCTATATGAAAACAATGTTGATTGTTTTCTTTGATTGAACAAAAATATTGCATGTTTCCTATAGTCCCAGAAGCTGGGAGGTTCCAAATTACATATCTAATTGTTATCAATAAAATAGCTAAAAGACAAAATAAGATATATTGAAGTATTCGTTCCTGTAGTGGAAATGTAGTAGAGCATACGATTCATATAGTTATAAATATGAAATTCTATTTCTGATATCTGTTCTACATATTTAATTAGCATGTTGTATATCTTTGTAATCAAGACATTATAATGAATGTAACTAGGGCAATGAAATGTTTTCGTCTGCTTCATAGCCAATTAACCACAAATTTGACACGTCATTTATTCGCAAAAAAATAGACATTAAGTAACAACTCATATGGTGCCACTGTGATATTTTGGGAAGATCCTTTGGGGTGACCGAAAACTTACCCTATCAAAGCGTTTTCTAAAAAGGGGAGTTTAATGTTAAAAAATACAATTGAACCCTGTTTTCTAAGTTTTTGCGATTACAATACCCTCTAGTAGGCGTGGAAAGTAAAAATAATTTTATTCCGTTTCAACATCAACACGTTCTTTACAGACTTCACCTAATCATTATGTAAGCCTAGAATGAGATACAGTAATGGACAAAAGTATATAGACAAACTAATACTGTGCTGTAAAAAATAAATTCATTAGACTCTCTTCAATAAAAAATTAATTGAAAAAACCGGAACTATGGACAAAAATATATAGATAAAGCAAAACAATTATAGAAAAAAGAAGCAAAGTTCATTGAATTATAGAAAACCAACCATGTTTGTGTTAATATTTTGTAGCATAACCATTATTATCAATCACCGCCTGGCATCCTTCTCGGCCTACGTAGATTGTAGAAGTTTCTTGACATAAGATTCATCAATCTGTCTCCACTTTTGCTCTAAAGCGGCAAAAAGTTCATCCTTGTTTGAATAATTTTTATCTCGTATTTGCTTATCTCCGTATTCCCATAGATTTTCAATGGGATTTTGATCAGGAGATTTGAAGTGTGCTTCGGGTCATTTTCTTGCTGGAAGCACCCCCAAACCATAACAGACCTGCCTCCATGTTTGACAGTGGGCAAAGTGTACTTGGGGTTCAATCTTTGTCCACTAGGACGACTAACGTAATGAACACCATCTGATCCAAACATATTTAACTTGGATTCGTCACTGAAACATACCCTCTTCCAGTGACAGATGCTCCAGTCTAGATACAACCGTGCAAATTGTAATCGGTCCTTACGGTTTTTCCTCGAGATTAGCGGCTTCTTACTCCGGCGACGTGCAAATAACTTCAAATCATTTAATCTTCTACTTATAGTTTTCGTAGAAACACTGACAATTCCTTTTGGCTCGATTTCGGCCTTTATTTGTCTTGGGGTTTTAAACGGATCTTTGGACGAAATTACTTTTATTAATATAACTGATCTAGCATTTGGTTTTCTAGGCCGACCACTTCTCTGAGAGGCTTCCAAGATAACTTTTTGTTTATATTTATTCAATATTGCCCAAACTGCTTTACGCTTCAGCTTCAAATTTTTGGCAATGTCGACGTTGACCATCTTTATATAACTCAATGATCTTAGTTTTTACACCAAAAGAAATTTCTGGACCACGCGGCATGGTCTTAAAATCACTCGACTTATTCCATAATACTTGATGAACACAAATTAATGCTCTTCTGACACGAAACTGTACTTCTATTTTGTTCATTGTAGATAATGTAAAAACAAGGAATTTAGTTTTTCTACTAATAACGCATTTGTTTATGGAGCAATGAAGTATGAATTCGTTTTCTAAAGGTATTTAGGTAACTATTCATATTTGTCTATATACTTTTGTGACAGTGACACGTTTTTTCTCTCTGCCGGTTCTATGTTTCATAGATTTCCTTTCTTGTTGTTCCTAACATGATAACTTCAATTCTCCTCATGTTCAGTTTATAATCCATTAAAATCTATTTTTATAATTATTTATTTCAGGCGGCCCCAAAGCTGTCCGTCTATGACTCCTTGGACGATGAGGTGATCCAGAGCTACCTGGAGTTCTCTCTAGCCTCGTTGCTGTTCTACGCGATGAAAGAGGGCGCCTGTAGTGAACAGTCCTCCAGGATGACTGCCATGGACAATGCCAGCAAGAATGCCGGAGAGATGATCGACAAGCTGACCTTGACCTTCAACCGTACCAGACAGGCTGTCATCACCAGAGAGTTGATTGAAATTATCTCTGGAGCTTCGGCTTTGTAGAGCGTAGGAGGGGATACGTATTGAACGGTATGGAAGAAAACGAACAAAAAATATGATTATAAAGTGAAGAAATAAAATATTTTATTTTAGGCCAATTTCTGAAAATTGCCGTGGCAGTCGACGTGTCTATACAGTATAATAAAAAAGATTCCTTTTTATTTTCAGGATAGAGAATTTAAGGATGATAACAGTACTGCATAGGACAGGGAATATGGATTTAAAACGAGATGACAGTAAGCCCAAAGTCTCAATCAACACCCTTTCTTTTTATATGCATGTTCACTTTCGTGATGTAAATATATGTAATGGTGGTAAAATAAAAGTGTTTATATACACTCCAGTTGTATTTTATTCCACAAACATCCTTACACCCAGATGCTAACTCACTGATCCGTTATTGGAACGAAACAACTTCATGACATAATTTATTTGAATCTTCTTAGAAATGCTTGAATCTCATTTACAATCCTTAAAAGTTTGTTTATTTGTTTTAGATTTATTTAGCATCAATGTTACACAGTATATCACATCTTCAAGTTGAGTTTTAGTTTTCCGTGAAATATTTTTTTAATTTCCCTTTGAACATTTTCAAACTAGTAGTAGTAGTAGAAAGATTTATTTAGCACATTTGGCTACATAAACAGAACAATTGTAAACAACTTAGAACTAGTAAATTCAAGCCATATGGTGTATGATGTAAATGCTGGGCAACCTATAATTGTAGATTTAACAAGTGATTTCTCAATTTTACTTTAAATTTTGTCAAAGTTTTCTGGTCTTTTATCTCCGAGTATAATTTATTATATTCAATCAACCCTTGATGGAATACAGATTTGTAGCATATGTTATACTTTTTGGTCATTAAATGGAAGTCATCTTTATTTCTGGTATTATGTAAATGATGGTCGATATTTGATGATGTTAAATTAGTTAGACTTGATGGAAATATATTATTTTTTACTTTATAAATGAATATCATTACAAGATATTTGATAAAATTTTTTACATTGAGCCATTTTAATTTGCTAAGCATTTCCCTAATTGGAGTATATTTATCTTTATTTAGTATTATTCTCATGCACTTATTTTGTAAAATTTGCAGTCTTTCAAAAATGGAATTATTTGCTAAATATAGAATAGTCGAACAGTACAAGAAATTTGGAAGAATGATGGTATTACAGATAATTTTTCTGCTATATGAACTCAGACATCCAGAAACTCTCGATAAATATCCCACTTTACTACTAATCTTATTTATAACTTTTTCATAATGAATATCAAAAATTAATCGAGAGTCAACAAAAACTCCCAGGTATTTAAAATTTTCTACGAATTCAATATCTTCACCATCAATATTCAGTTGAACATTTGTACATTGTTTTTTTCCGATTAACAAGGCTTTCGTTTTACTTGCATTTAATTTTAGTCTGTTAGATGCTAACCATTTTGAGACAAGCTTCAAGTCTTCATTTATATAAGAGATACCAGACTGAATATTTTTAGTACTTATATAAATCATAGTGTCATCGGCGGAAATTTGAATTTTGCATTTTTTGACTATGGCAGGTAAATCATTTATGTATAAAATAAAAAGAAGTGGTCCCAGGATACTGCCCTGTGGAACACCCAACGTACTTTCAATTTTTGATGAAATAGTGTCATTAACTTTTGTAACTTGCATCCTTTTAGACAAATATTTTCTAAACCAATCTAAAATATTTCCTGTTATACCATATGCCTTCAATTTACCTAACAAAATATCTCTATCAATCGTTTCAAATGCCCTCTTCAAATACAAAAATACTGCTATGACAACTTCTTCTGAGTCTATGGCTCTTCTCCAATTCTCAGTTACCAACTGGAAAGCTGTTTCTGTGGAATATTTTTTTCGAAAGCCTGCTTGCGCCTCCACTAAAATTTTGTTTTCTTCTATAAACTGCATTAATTGGTCATGCACTATGGACTCTAATAATTTTTCAATGTCTGGTAACACATTTACTGGTCTCATATCGCTGCATCTTTTAGAATTTTTTATTTTGGGAACTGGTGTTATTGTAGAGCACTTCAAATTTTCAGGGAAAGAACTGCTTCTCAGTGAACAATTGATCCAATTTAATACAGGATATCCCAAAATTTCGAAACAGTTTTTCAGCACGTTTTTAGTAGTCATTTCGGCACAGTTGTTATTTGATTTTAAACTGTTTACTTTTTTTCTTAGATAATTCAATGATACGCTGTGAAATTTTGAAAGTGTATGCAACATTTCCCCCTGGAAACTGATTTTCATATAGTCAGGTGCAGCATTGGCAGTACCTACAATATCAACAATACTTTCCACAAAATATTCATTTAGTTTGTTTGCAATCACCAAAGAATTTGTTTCGGTACCGTTTTCGAATTGAACTTGATTTACACAATCATGCGGCTTCGAATTGATCAGTCTTTTTAAAGTCTTCCACATCTTTACACTGTCGCACTTGTTATTATCGATTTGTTTATCGTAGAATTTTCTTTTTTCTTCTGGCACACATCTTGATATCATTATTTAATTTATCAAATCCGTACAATCCCTGATTTTTTTATTATATTGCTACTACAATTTTGTAAATGAAGGTCTATTCTCCCTCTAGTAGAATAACCACATTGTTATGGTAGATGATTTTTTTCTAAATTGAATATGAATATGAAAATGCAAACCAAGTAGTTCTTTCAGCATAAAATTTATTCTGGTATATTTATTTTTATTTAAGATGATTCTCTTGGCTTTATTTTGTAGTTCTGAGGAAGAATGATAGTGTTGTACAAAATATATAGTATATACAGGGTGTCCGCAAAGTTGGGGTTTTCCTTTTCAGAAACAACTATCCTTGAAATAACAAAGGTAATGTGTAGTGAAACGAGGGCGACCAAGTAAAAAAAAATAAAGGAAAAAGTACTCTCTCCAGTTGACGAGAAGGGCTAAGTACGTCTCTGCCCGAAATCATACCGCTCCAACAGAAAATGAAATCAGCTGAAGCGCTACCGAGCAGACGCAGAAACCACATTGATTGTCTTACACTTAATGGCACATCTTCTAACAAGGAAGGCAAAATGTTGCGTAAAAAGTCTAGGTATTGCATCCCGTCCAATCGATTTGGGAGAATAAATGGTCCAATGAGCATACCGTTCACCATGCCAGCCCAAACATTCACCGAAAATGTTTGTTGAAAATGTGCCCGACGGACAGCGTGCGGATTTTCTACTGACCAAATGATTGTTGCGAAAGTTATTCACCCCATTACGCGTGAACGTAGATTCGTCTGTCACCAATATGCACTTCAAAAAGTCCGGATTATTGTCATGTTGATGCAACAACCACTCACAAAACCGCACTCTTGCTGGAAAATCGTCAGGTTGAAGGGCTTGTACACGTTGGACGTGAAGCGGATACAGCCCCTCTTCACGCAGCGTTTGCCACACTTTAGTTTTTGATACTTGCACTCTTCTAGCCACGTCTCTAGTGCTTGTTGAGGGATTCTCGTCTACGCGATTACCTCTACACGCGTGACCGTAACCGTCGGTTGAAGGTTGCATACTGACCTGACACACTGACCCCGACCCAGTTCTGTCGTCGGGTTGAGCCAGTGACCTTGTACCAGTCGGTGATGTAGCGGCTACAGGACGGTATTCAGATATTTTTGATGTTGCAGAGCCCTTTATTCCGGTTCCCTTAAGACATTGGTGTATATGGTACTAAGAAAAATTGCTTATGTTTTCAAGATCTACACGTCGTGTAAAGGAAAACCCCAACTTTGCTTAGAAAATGTCGACTCCTGTAAATTATTCTCAAAGAGATGAATGTTTTATTTACTAAAGCTTGAGTATGGACAGAGAACCGCAGGCTTGGATCAGTAGTTAAACCTAAGTATGATTTTCTTGACTATATAAGCTCATTGTTCTGCGACGTTCTCATCACCTAAAACAAATTTTAAGTTACAGATCAAATCATATAGTAGTCAAATAATTGCTGGGAAAAAGCCAACCAGTTAAGTCAAAACATGTAAAGGAAACCTGTAATAGAAACTGGAATGAACTCCCAGCGAAACGTTCAATGCTGACAAGTATGCCAGGCATACGAGGTCTGTAAATTAAGGATAAGGCTCGAGCGTATGCAAACTTGTACTGAAGGCGGATCAGATGTTCCCCTGCCTCCCCTCCAAGCCCGGCGCTACCAGTGTTGCCAGTTCGAACACTAAGTTGCCAGCATTATCACTTAATTTACAGTCCTCGTATAAGGTACGGCAAACCACTCAGCATTTAACTAAAAGAAGTAATGGTAGCCAAGGTGTATTTGTATCGTGATAGAAACAGGCTGAGCCACCAAAAGGTGTTTGTTTCTATTTGCTAATATCGTTGTCTCTCATTAATCGGAGCTGCATCACATAGGACCAGTTGAGTCTTAACGAAACACAAAGTCATACCTTCGGGAACCATCTGCATCTCAATTATTTCAGTCGGCAAGTTGAGTCGAACTTCCTGATCCTCTGGCGGCATCTCATCTTCTGCTGGAATTTCTATAGTTTTTATCTCTTCCATCTGGAACGCCAAGTGACGTTCACCATGATTTGAAGCACGCTGTATTTCTCTCGGAGGAGGAACTTCACCATCTTCTAGCTGAGGAGTTTGATACTCGCTTTCTTGAACCGTGACTTCTTCACCTTTAACGATAATGACTTATTGGTGCTAAGTAGACATATGGTTTGTATACATCAACGAAGGAGATGAGGATTAAAACCTAAGTAAATACAGCAGACGCTCGATAATGTAAACTAATTTAATCCAAGTGTGGTTCACATTATCGAAATGTTTACATTAGCGAACGTGATTTATATAATATTTGATTTATTAAAAGAAACGTTTAATACATACTATTTATAACAAAATAAACAAATATTCTAACAGCGATAAGTATTTTTTTAATTAGAAAAAAAATAATTCACAATTTTTGTCTGCGTAAATTTGCGCTTAGCATTGTCTTCCAATTCCTGCGCCCGTAATTTACGAAGAACTAAAATATCCGTGTATGAAACTTTTCTTTCAGCCCAATCTAAAGCTTGGTTAAAGACTTGTATAGCTTGCGCGTCAGTCACTACACTTCTGACTTCAATGGGGTCGTTCTCATCATCCTCACTGTCCATATCCTCCTCCTTATCAGCATCATTCGTCTGCTTATCTTCGTTCCATAAATTAATATCAGCAGGAGTACAAACAATGTTGGGATTCACTGTTTTCAATAAATCAACAACATCCAATGACACACTAATAACATTATCATTATTGGATCGCAAACGTTCTCTAATTACGCTTAAGGGGACATCGATCATCTTCATTATTGGTACAAAAGAGATTGTTCCAACATTTTTGAATAGTTCATTCCAGGCCATATGTAAATCTAAAACAGCTCGTAATGTTACTTTTTTTAAAGCCTCAGATAAGGTTTCAGGATTCTTTGATAAGACAGACGAAAGTAGAAACTTCCTATAGTATAGTTTGGTGAGTCTTATTATATTCTGGTCCATCGGTTGAATTAACGGTGTTACGTTGGGCGGTATGTACATGACGAAAATTGACCCATCCCTGCTCCTCAGTTGTTGCTCGGGAGGATGACTTGGTGCATAATCCAATAGTAACAACGCTTTTATTGGAAGCTTCTGTTGTTTTAGGAAATCTTTTACCTACAAATTGAAAACACATCTTCAAATTATGAATAGAGCATTTGTGATATTTGATTGTCATACCTGAGGGACAAAGCACCTGTGGAACCATTTCAGGAATATACTGCTAGTCAGCCATGCGGTTTTTGAACAGTCATAATCAACAGGGATATTAACATTTTTAAATGAGCGCGGATTTTTTGCTTTCCCAATTACCAGTGGCTTTATTTTGTGTGAACCATTAGCATTAGTGCAGGCTAGAAACGTTATTCCTTGTTTCTCCGGCTTTTTTCCCGGGGCAGATTTTTCAAATGATGCAGCATAGGTTTTCTCTGGTAACATTTTCCAATAAAGGCCACTTTCATCTGCGTTGTAAATTTGTTCCATTGTTAAATCTAGCTCGGTAATTGTTTTCATCAATTTTTCTTTGAATGGTTGCACTAATTTTGGTTCTGCTGATAATTTTTCACCAGATATAGACGGCAGTCGAATTCCATATCTTGTTTCGAATCGTTGTAGCCAGCCATCACTAGCTACGAAATTTTCAGTTTCTTTCAGTTTTTCATTTAACAGTCTCGCTCTCTGTTTAAGTACTTCGCCACAAACTGGGCCGGACCTCCAAATGTATTGCACGTTCTTTGTAAAATTTGAGTTTTCATTCGCTTAATTTTACAGATTGTTGCTTTCGATACTCCATATTTTTTTTCTAACTGTGTCACTCCCGCACCTAGTGCAACTTCGTCTATGATTTTCACTTTCTCACTCAACTTTGAACACTTTCTTTTATATGATATGTGGATGCCATAGTCGTAAAATATATTAACGCGTGCAATGTATTCACGTAAGTTCAAAAATGAAATACATACGTACGTATAAACGTATCCTAAACGATCATACGACTGACCGAGTTTGTCGTATTTTATCGCAGAGGTGAATCCCCTACACTCTACATCATAAATCGGGGACTCCCCGACGCCCGACATAAATCATCGAGGCTTCAGCATTTTACCGTCGCGCTGTTTCCGTGCGCCGTGAGTTGTTTACGTTATTGAGCGTACACATTGTTTACGTTATCGCGCGTTCCGTTTGATCCTGTAGAACGAAGTTTGTGTTTACATTAGCGCAAGTTTTCATTATCCCGTGTTTACGTTATCGAGCGTCTGCTGTATTTGCATGTCAGGAGCATCCAACAGGTGACTGTATACACTTAAGTAGAAAAAGATGTTGTGCCAAAAACGAGTCTCTTTAAAAGTTATGGGTTCATGATATAGTTAGGTAGGACAAATTGGTTAAGGCTTATGCGGACAGTTGATACACTGCTGTCTTGATTCGGCTCTAAAGGCCGTCGTCGGTTGAAATTTCTTCCTAACGTTTCGCTAGCACGAGTAGCAAGCTTCTACATCCAGCATCGGAAATGGAAGGACCTCTGAAGAAGCTTGCCACTCGTGCTAGCGAAACGTTAGGAAGAAATTCCAACCGACGACCGCCTTTAGACCCGAATCAAGACAGCAGTTTATACTTAGGTGTACTTTAACTGAATGTAGGTACAAGATCTGATATCGGGCGCTTCGCTATTATGGATGTAAGGTTCAACAAATTGGACCAAAAAAATTCCCAAATTTTTGAATAAAACGACGTACAAAAACGTGACCCACAATCTTCCAATATTGAACGTACCTACGAGATTCTGCTCGGCTGGCTGTTCGTCAGGTTCCGCAGCTCCTTTCTTGTCCTTCTTTCCTTTTTTACCTTTTTTGCCTTTCTTTGGCTTAGGCGGGGGCAGTGATGCATCTGGATAATACTCTTTATAAACCCTCATCATTTCCAGGCTATCTATCTTTGATTTCTTTACAATAAACTGGTTTGTTAGTTCATTCACCAGGTCTTTATCTTTCATAATTTTCTTTAATTTTTTCTTTTTCAGTTGAGTCTCGAAATCTGCCTTTGTAATCGGAGTTTCAGGTAACGCCAAGACAAAATGCCTATTCAAACATAATAATAATAATTTTCTTCATTAAACTTATCTATGTGCCTGTAGGAGATTCCATGCATAGGCTTGTCTCTATGAAGCCCTAATAATAATAATAATAGACGTCTTTATTTATCCACAATTACATTGTAGTATAGCCAAATGTCATACTTATATGTCGAAGTTTAGCATGCTGCTACTCTTACACTTAACCATATAGTCTCTAGCAGATGTTCAAAAGAATACACTATCCACAAACAGATTTGGTTCATTACATCGAAAGTAAAATTTAAAAAAAGAGAAAAAGGCATACTTTCCAAACCCAAATGCACCAAAAAATTATTAATCTGAATTAAAGATGGAATAAAAAAGAAATGAATGATTACGTAAATTATATGTTTGGAGGGTTGAGTAATAATGTTTTAACTTTTTGTCGAAAGACAGATAATGAAAATTCTTTATATACTTTAGGAAGGTCATTATAAATAATAGCAGCATTGTAAGAAAAACTGCGTTTAAAAAGTGTAGACGTATGCAGGGGTATTCTAATATTATTTTCTCTGAGAGTTCTACAGTGAACATCATTATTAAATGAAATTTTTTCCTTCAAGTAATAAGGTTTAGACGTGAGCAGCAACTTGTGAACAAAAACTGAATAGTGATACTTGACCATGTCATTAATTTTTAACCAGTTTAGAACGGGATATTTCGTTGATACATGATCAAATTTACGTAAGCTAAAAATGAATCGTATGCAACTATTTTGAATAACTTGAATAACGTTTTTAGTGAAATTGTCTAAACAAGTATAGTATACGATATTACAATAATTTAATATAGATATGACCAATGCTTCACATAGTTTTTTACGCAACTTAAAATTTAGTAAATACCTGTTTGCTATAAGAGTGCGCAGCCGTAGGTAGGTTTTCTGAGATAGACTTTTAACATGTTCAATAAACCTTAATTTTGTATCAAAAACAACACCAAGAATTTATGCAGAATCAGAAAATTGCAAAATTTGGTTATTTATCTGAATGTTCGAGAGCTGTGTTACATTGTATGTTTTTCTTTGTGCGCAAAATAATAACATTTTAGATTTTTGTGGATTAATAAGTAGATTGTGATCTAAAGAGTATTTAATTAATTTATTAACATCGTTTTGCAAAATTTGAGTAGTATTATTGACATTATTTGGGTTAAAATAATGGAGCAATTGCGTTTCGTCTGCAAATGACTGGACATGAGAATTATCAATACTTTTGCTTAAGTCAAACGTATATATGAGGAACAGAAGCGGCCCCAATACAGAGCCCTGAGGTGCGCCTGAGGGAATTATTGTCACTTGAGACATTTCTTGATTGAGAAAAACACACTGAGTTCTTTGACTGTCGAAAAATGAAAGGGATACAAGACCTATGTAATTTAATTTAGCAAGTAATAATTTATGATTGATGCTGTCAAAGGCTTTCGAATAGTCTATAGAGATTAAGGCTAGTGCCATTTTCTTATCTAAGGCACTTAAAATATTGTCTTGCAGATTAAGTAGGGCAGATGTTGTACTATAATTTCTTCTAAAACCGGATTGAGTGTCGGGAAGTATAAAGAATGTTTCTAGGTAAGCGGTCAATTAACACTTTATAATTTTTTCTAAAATTTTGGATAAAATTGGTAATAAACTGATAGGTCTGAGATCATTATACTCAGTGGGTTTCATTTTTTTAGGAATTGGAATAATTAGAGCTTGTTTCCATGTGTTTGGAAAGTAGCCTTTTTCCAAAGATGTGGACGATGTGATGGAGAATAACTGGCAGGCAAAGCTGGATCATTGACAGGGATATACCATCAATTCCCTTCGCATCAGATTTTAGGCTCACTATTGCTTGTAGTACGTCATTTAATAGGTCATTTACTTCAGCAGTTATTATTATTACTATTATTAATCATTATTATTTGGGTTCATTAGTGACATACCGCAAGTTCCGCGAAGAAATACTTACGCGAAATCTTTCTTGGCCTTCTTTTTCTTTGGTTTCTGTAATATGAATCTAATTCTATCGAATAACAGCTTAGTGTAATCGGGTCCTTTGATGACGTAGTTTCCTAGGATTCCACCAATTTTCACAAACTTTCCCATGTCCTCAATCCTTTTCAGTATCTACCAGAAAAAATGTCTAAAACTTACAATCTTATAGAAACACTGGGCAAACATTCAATACAGTTGTGTTTCTTGGACCAATGGCGTCCGCAAGGAGGGGGCAGGGCGGCGTGAACCCGCCTGAGAATACGATTAGAAGTTTAAATTTGCATATTTAGCATGATTGTGTACAATTTAGGAAATGAAATGAAATGAAATTTTTATTATTCTTAGCCCTAAAGCTACTTCCTATAGTTTATAATAGTGTCTTACTCCAGTAATAAACAAAAAAACAGTAATTCTAGATTGCCTTAAAATCATAGTAACTGCAAATGCGAGATGACATACAGTTATCTTAACACAGAAAGTACATATATTATGCCATTTTATCTAGATACAATTGCTTAACCTTACGAATAAATATATACTAAATGACATATAAATCCGAACACCCAGTTTAAATGGTTTTATTTTAATAAAAGTTGGTGAATGTATTTATCTTACTGTAAATAAGAAGTGAAAACATTTTCAGCCTTATCAGCTGGACATTCCGGTTTTTATACTGCTTTTTTTTAATTCACTAACGCTCTAAAAATGAATATTTCTGCCGCAGTAAAGAATCAACGTTGGCGGATTTTGGTTCTTGACATCCTTTACGATCGGCTACGATGCCTAGAGTACGGAGACCTGTACGATTTCGTCAACTTAGTGAGTTTGATAGGGGCCGTATAGTGGGACTTCGGGAAGCTGGACTTTCTTTTCGGGCAATTTCAGTTAGAGTGCAAAGAAGTGTAGACACTGTGGTTAGGTGTTGTCAGGCATGGCTTCGAGAAGGCCGTACGCAAAGAGCAAGGGGCACTGGACGCCGCCGTAGAACAACAGACCGTGAAGATCGCCGCCTAAGATTATTAGCCTTAAGGGACCGTTTCTCCACTACCAGGTCCATTGCAAATGAATGGTTTGCAGAACACGGAAGACCTATTGGCATGCAAAGTGTTTACCGACGAATGAGAAGTTTTGGCTTGTTTTCATACCGGCCACACTGGGTCCTCCCTTTAACTCGAGAACACCGACGTAATCGCCTTGAGTGGTGCAGACAACGGTCACTCTGGGATCAGGAATGGAACAGTATTGTCTTTAGTGACGAGTCTCGATTTTGTTTAGGCATGCACGATGGTCGTGCCAGGGTTAGAAGGCGACGTGGTGAAAGGAGGAATCCACAGTTTTTTGTTGAAAGGCATGTTCATCACACTGTCGGAGTTATGGTTTGGGGTGCTATAGCTTATGGTTCCAGGTCACCTTTAATCTTCATCAGAGGTAACATGAACGCGCAGCGTTATATCCACGAAGTTCTAGAACCCCATCTTTTACCCTATCTTGACACCCTGGCAGATCCAACTTTCCAACAAGATAATGCCCGACCACATGTTGCAAGAGTCACAATAGACTTCTTTCAACATAATGATGTCACATTGTTATCATGGCCACCAAGATCTCCCGACTTTTCCCCAATTGAGCACGTGTGGGATATGATGGGTAGGAGATTGCTCAATTTGCAACGTCCTCCTCAGACTCTAGAAGCACTTCGAGAGGAGTTGGTGGTTGCCTGGAATGAGATACCACAGGAGGACATTGACCACCTGATCAGAAGCATGCCTAGGCGCGTTGGAGAATGCGTAGCACATCAGGGTGCATCCACACGTTATTAAAGGTCAAAGGGCTTTAAAGCAGTGCAATCATTTTGAAATTTTTATCATTTACTTATTATACTTCATTAAGTACTTATACAAAATTTTATTAAAATAAAACCATTTAAACTGGGTGTTCGGATTTATATGTCACTTAGTACAGGGTGGCCCATAAGTCCTTTGAGCTGGAAAAAAAGGAATAAAACCAAACTAGTTACATTATGAAGAATTATTATATTTTGTTATCATCTTTATTGAATGGGAATTATGTTTTAAAAATCACATCGTCTAAATGCAATCCATTACGATCACGGCACTCATATAAACGACGTCTAAAATTGTCGATGACTGCGCGGCAAGTCAACACTGTAATGCTTGCCATTTCTCTTCGGATATTTTCCTTCAGGACATCAACTGATCGCGGAGTGGTGTCGTACACTTTACTCTTGAGGTAGCCCCATAAAAAGAAGTCCATTGGGGTCAAATCTGGACTACGTGGTGGTCAGGAAATGTCTCCTCTTCGAGAAATTACTTTGCTGGGAAAAAGTTGACAGACGACGGGCATAGAAGTGTTGGAGGTGTGGGCAGTTGCTCCGTCCTGTTGAAACCAGGTCTGCGTATTATAGCCTGGAAAATTCTGCAACGCTGGTGTCAAAAACTCTTCTATCATTGCTACACACCGCTCCGAAGTAACAGTTAATGCGCGACCTCTGTCGTCCTCAAAAAAATAAGGGCCTACGATGCCATGCGCTGACATAGCAGCCCAAACTGTAACTTTAGGGCTGTGTAAGGGCTTCTGATGCTTACGCCTTGGATTTTCGGGGCTCCAATAACGGCAATGTTGTTTATTTACATGCCCGTTTAAATGGAAGTGAGCCTCGTCCGAGAACAACACATTATTGAGCGAAGAAAATCGATTCAACATTTCATTCGCAAAGTTTAGTCTCTGAATAGCGTCATTATCTTTTAATTCCTGCACTAACTGAATTTTGTAAGCATGCAGACGTAAATCTTTCCTTAAAATCCGCTGTAAAGATGTTCTGGGTACGTTTAGTGCACTGGAACGCTTACGAGTAGACTGGGTAGGATTTTGACGAACAGACTGTGCCACAATGTTGATGTTTTCTTCAATACGAGTTGTCCTTGGTCGACCCCACCGCTGTTTATATAACGTCGAACCAGTCTCTTCGAACTTAGCAACCCAGTTCTTAATCGTTTGAGCTGTTGGACACTTTGTAAAATTGTGTAAATTGTGGTATTCTCGATATTTACGCCGCGCAATGTTTGCCGAATCATTATTTTGATAAAACGCGCGCACACAAAAAGCACGATCCGCTCCAGTGAAACACTCCATGGCGACTGAATTCCCAGACACTGAAGATACTGCCCCCACCGCGCCCGCGCCGCTCACGCTCACCCGTTAAATTTTATTCAAATTTGAAATTTCAAAGGACTTATGGACCACCCTGTATATTTACAGACGTCACTTCTCTAATTTCTGTAGGTAATGCTTTAAAAAGTCTCAAACCATCACTAAAAAGACATTTTTGCATATGGGATGTTCTAGCGAATTCGTTTCTGAGAAAATTTGCTACCCCCACTCTTCTAAACGTATGGCTTCAAGAAAACATTTTTCCCTGTGGAAAAACATAGAGAATTAAAATTGTCGTGGAAATATCATCATTGTATTGCTGTAAATCTTATTTTGATTAAGTACCTAGATATTTAGTTAATATGGTTTAAATGATCATAATAATTTAGTGTACGAGGGATGTCTTTTAAGTTTTGCATATAGAAACATAGTAGGCCGCGCGGATCGAACGTCAGTACTGAATCTTAACCTCACTCTTTAGTAAACTTAAATTCGAACTTTCACAACAATACAGTGTTCTCACTACAGTTACTTTCTAAGTGTCATTAGAAAGATGGAACTCAATCGAGAACATTTTCGCGCCATAATTTATTACAACTTTCAGAGACAATTATCGCAACAAGAATGCCTTGCTGAGTTACTGTCTGTTTTCGGCAACGAAGCGCCACATCAATCGACAATTTCCCGTTTATATGAAGAATTCAAACGTGGTCGGGTGAGTCTTAGCGACGATCCCAGGGTGAGTGCACGAAAAACGGCAGTCACCCAGTAAAACGTCGGATGCTGTGCGCAAACTCATCATTGAAGATAGACACGTGGCATATCGCGAGATTGAAGCGTCCTTGAAGATCTCAAAGACGTCAATTCAAAAAAATTTTACATGAAGAATTAGGAGTAAGAAAATTAGTTTCTCGTTGGATACCCCACCTGTTGACTGAAGAGCAGAAAGCAGCCAGGGTTAATTGGTGTCGAAAACGCTAGACCGTTACAATTCCGGAAACTCAAAAAATGTGTACAGCATTGTTAGCGCCCAGGGCCCCCGACGGAAAGGGGCCCCTTTTCGGCCTTTTATTCGTCGGGGGCCTTTTTTTCGACGGGGGCCTTTTTTCGTCAGGGGACTTTTTTTGGCCCTGAAAGAATCTTACCACGGCGAAGACTTTAGGGGTTTCTGAAAATACTTCAAATTGAACAATGCTCGATATCCGTATATGCGCGGGAAATTCAAATGTTATTTAGGCAGTTCTAAGGGTAGAGTTGATAAAAAAATTTCGTATAGGGGGGCCCCAAATTTCCTAGCTGCCCCAGGGCCCCCGAGGCTCTAGCTACGCCACTGGTGGTGATGAATCGTGGATTTACTGTTATGAACCAGAAAATAAACGACAGTCGCCTGTTTGGGTGTTCCAAGGTGAAGAAAAGCCAACAAAAGTCAACCGTTCTCGAAGTGTTTCGAAAAATATGGTCGCGACATTTGTGTCAAAAGCGGGTCATATTGCAACAATTCTTCTTAATGAGCAAAGAACTGTTAGTGCGGATATACCACCATTTGTTTGCCAAAAGTCATCACCGAGCTTCGAAAAATCAAACCCGAAAGAAGAATCATCCTCCACCAAGACAATGCAAGCTCGCACACAGCCCAAAAAACAAGGCAGTATTTAACGGATAAAAACGTGGAATTATTGGACCATAATCCATATAGTCCCGATCTAAGTCCTAACGATTTCTTTACTTTCCCGAAAATTAAAAACAGACTGCGTGGTCAAAGGTTCCAGTCACCAGAAGAAGCAGTTGACGCATTCAAAAATGCCGTTTTGGATCTGCCAGCAAACGAGTGGAATAAGTGCTTCGAAAATTGGTTCGAGCGCTTGCAGATGTGTATTAATCTTCGTGAAGAATATTCGTACTTCGAAAAACAATAAAGTCATTTAAAACTACCTACAGTGTTGTTTCATTTCCATATGCAAAAATTAAAAAACTTCCCTCGTAAATGTTTATTATCAAGGAGGAACAATCTAATTGGTACAAACAAGAATGATGGATATATACAGGGTGGGCCATTTAAAGTGGAAGCATTTGTTTATAAAAAAATACATTAAAAAAATACTTTTGTTGTTCATTCGAAAAGTCTTTTATTTTGATCCAAGGAGATTTGTTGTAATTACTTTTCAAAAATGATATCGCGCAAATGGCCACCTCTTGCCTTGATAACCAAATGTGCCCTTTTTTCGGCGTTTTCCAACACGTTGTTCTTGAGGGCAGCTAGAGTCCTTGGCTTGTTAGCGTATACCTTGGATTTCAAATAGCCCCACAAATGAAAGTCTGGTGGCGTCAAATCAGGTAATCTCGGTGACCAGTCAAAATCGCCATTTTTCGGTATCAGTCGTCCAGGGAACAATGGTCGCAATGAATTGATTGTCGCTTGAGCTGTGTGGCATGTGACGTGGTCCTGCTGGAACCACTAATCGTCTAGGCCATTTTCACAAGCAATCAACCTCAAAAAATTTGTTATCATGGCTCGATAACGGAGCGTCAATGGTGAGCGATAAATTGATTTTTGGAAATTTAGTTTGCCTCGTATTTTTGGTTCTATGAGAAAGACCAAGGGATAAAATAGCCTTGGGATAAAACATCATCCTTGAACTTCGTCATATTTAGTAAAGTGTGTATCCTGTAAATATTCAATTTTACCGTACCAAAGGCACATCAAAAAAAAGATTTTTGTGAATAGCTTTATTGTTAATCTCAGGAAGTACCTTTTAGTTACGTAAATTTGCAACTTCGTCTCAGTTTAGCAAGCCTCGTCCCCGACATCCTCCCCAAAGATTGAAATTGTACGCACACTGTATTTATTATACAGAGTGTAAACGTTATGATAGTCATTACTTAAATGGGTGATAGAGGGGGTTAAAAGGAGCAAAAAGTTTCATATAACATGGGGGTCAAAACGGCATTTTTTTTAGAGAAAAGCGACTTTAAAGTAAAATAAAATCTGACAACGTCGCAATGCCACACGCAAATTACGACGGAACACATTGTAAATAAAGATGGAGTTTGTTATTTTTGGCTCTTAGGTATTATGTCATTATTTGTTAATGTACTCGTAAAATGCCAACAATTAAAAAAACGGACTCAGCGCTTCACCTGGTGTGTGAAAGTTTATTGAACGTATTAAAAAAATCCACTTATAAATAGGTAACACAATTTTGATACATACATTGTTTTTCTTTTTAAAACCCACACCGCACTTTTTTTGTATTTAAAGAAGTTGTTCAAAATGTCGTTCTCCACTTTCCACACAAGCTTCATTACGACGAACCCAGTTTCTTCTTACTCCAGGTCCTCGAAGTTGTCCATTTATTATTTCAGCCGCATTAAATTTTGTTTCGCGAAATCTGTTGCGATAAATTTGAGCTGCAAGATTTGAATTCTGACGAGCTTCACCGTAAACTAACAACATGTCGGCGAACTCTTGATTCGAGAACATTGTAAATAAACACGACGACGTACGCGAACAAAAACAAAACAACACGCCCGATGCTTTGCTCGACAAAACGATAAAGTAATTTATCTATGCAAAACGATAACTAACCATTGTTACCGTTTGCGATCGATTGCCGGTTCGATAAGAGTGATGAAATACCGACGCGCTGTTGTCATGTGTGTTTTAAATATTCAATTTAATGAGGCTTACTTACTGACTACAAATTTTGGCTTAACTTAGAAAAACTTAATGCCATTTATTTGTTAATTACCTAATTTAAAAACGTTTTAGATTAGATTATAAAAAATAGTAAGATTGTGGTGATTGTGGTCGATATAAAGCACTTAAAGTTGTAAACTATAAAGCCATTTAAAAAAAATCTATTGACTTTTGGACCATGGGTCATATGAACTTTTGACTTGTTTTGACCATTCTATTACCCATTACCATAACGTTTACACCCTGTATTTTATCTACTAACCTGTACAGACTCTTAGGCAGATACGTATTCTCCATATCCATGAACGTTAGTGGATCTCTACCTTTAGATGCCAACATTTTCAACAATATCAGCCCTTCGTCCGCAGGATATGGATTATTTCCGATTCTTAAGGTAACCAAAGAGTGATTTTTATTGACAGCATTCACTAACATCTTCAAAGGACCATGAGAAAGCCTAGTAGCAGATAGGATCGATGAATTAATTTATTGAAAAAATGCGGAAAAAAATTCGGGCTGTTATTTGGTTGTTGCCAAGTCTGCTGTTTACGTTGGTAGTTTCCGTATTAAATTATAAACGAATTGTAGTTTTGACTAACCCTAACGGGCAACATTTTGAACACTTAGAATAAAGATTTTTCTAATTTTCTCGAAGACCAATCGACCGATTTAAAAAAATCAAATGTCAAAGAAAGGACCTCGAAAGACCTTTCAAACAAGGTATCACTCGATACCCCTTGTCATTCAAAATTTGAAGGGGGATGACCCTGGGGGCAGAGGGTGAAAGGAGATGAATTAGTTATAGATTAAGAAGTTGTCCCTTTTTGACAGATCTTTTGACGTGTTTCGGCGTTTTTTCCTTTAATCAGTGGTTTTCAATAAATTCGTGATGGTAAGTTTTCAAATGAACACCCTGTATACAGGGTGACTTTGAAGTTGAGTCATTAATTTTCAGATAATGATTATAGAAGGAAGATAAACCAAAATATGTGTGTAAAAATAAAAAAAAAATAAATAAAAAATTTTACCTTGTTTTATAAAGTATCCTCCCGACAAGTATTTCAGTGCGGACCTGTATTTGATCGTGAGGTCTTGGAGCACCGGCATGCCCTCCCCTGTGAGGTCTTAGGTCACCTGATTCACGAGCCCGTTGTACTACATTAACAAAGGCACGAGAGGTTGGTTGCACTCGATTGGGAAACCGATCCGTATAAACATGTGCCATTTTTTATTTCGTTTGAGCCACGCAGCAAACACCACTATTCACTCACGCGTTACCGACTGACACATTGACTGAATAAAAACATCGTGATCAGCGTTTCAAATTCTTTCGCTTTTTTGTTTCCGATGCGATGGACCGATAAGGCGGATTATATACGTTGTTGCCAAACACGAGCACATAATATTATTATTGAGACAGGGCGGTACTCAAACTTCTAAAGGGCTATAACTTTGTTACTTTAATTTTACCACAAAAATGTTAAAGGAAAAAACATTTCTTTTGATCAGATCTACTCACTGTTAAAATAAATGACTCAACTTCGAAGTAATAGCTAGAAGAAAAGTATGAAAACAATAGAACAGGGTGGAACAAAAAATGCCTCAAGTTCACTGGCAGTGTATTGCTTAATATACCTGTTAGCATCTAAATCCAGATATTCTAAGCTTGTAGCGGTCCTCAAGTATTTGGTTAGAGGAGATATAGCACCTTTTGTACTGATTCCATTCCAGGCTAAACTCAACCACTTTATTCTGTCATTATTTTTAAAACCATTGAACAATTTCTTGTTGCCTATAAAAAGTCTCATGGAAATGATATGTTTCAAATATCGGTTTGATCATAAGGAAAAATCAGTTACTCTTGACGCTCATGATACAAAACTCGAATTATACTAAGTGACATATAAATCCGAACGCCCAGTTTAAATGGTTTTATTTTAATAAAATTTTGTATAAGTACTTAATGAAGCATAATATGTAAATGATAAAAATTTAAAAATGATTGCACTGCTTTAAAGCCCTTTGACCTTTAATAATGTGTGGATGCACCCTGATGTGCTACGCGTTCTCCAACGCGCCTAGGAATGCTTCTGATCAGGTGGTCAATGTCCTCCTGTGGTATCTCATTCCAGGCAACCACCAACTCCTCTCGAAGTGCTTCTAGAGTCTGAGGAGGACGTTGCAAATTGAGCAATCTCCTACCCATCATATCCCACACGTGCTCAATTGGGGATAAGTCGGGAGATCTTGGTGGCCATGGTAACAATGTGACATCATTATGTTGAAAGAAGTCTATTGTAACTCTTGCAACATGTGGTCGGGCATTATCTTGTTGGAAAGTTGGATCTGCCAGGGTGTCAAGATAGGGTAAAAGATGGGGTTCTAGAACTTCGTGGATATAACGCTGCGCGTTGATGTTACCTCTGATGAAGATTAAAGGTGACCTGGAACCATAAGCTATAGCACCCCAAACCATAACTCCAACAGTGTGATGAACATGTCTTTCAACAAAAAACTGTGGATTCCTCCTTTCACCACGTCGCCTTCTAACCCTGGCGCGACCATTGTGCATTCCTAAACAAAATCGAGATTCGTCACTAAAGAAAATACTGTTCCATTCCTGATCCCAGAGTGACCGTTGTCTGCACCACTCAAGGCGATTACGTCGGTGTTCTCGAGTTAAAGGGGGGACCCAGTGTGGCCGGTATGAAAACAAGCCAAAACTTCTTATTCGTCGGTAAACACTTCGCATGCCAATAGGTCTTCCGTGTTCTGCAAACCATTCATTTGCAATGGACCTGGTAGTGGAGAAACGGTCCCTTAAGGTCAATTATCTTAGGCGGCGATCTTCACGGTCTGTTGTTCTACGGCGGCGTCCAGTGCCCCTTGCTCTTTGCGTACGGCCTTCTCGAAGCCATGCCTGACAACACCTAACCACAGCGTCTACACTTCTTTGCACTCTAACTGCAATTGCCCGAAAAGAAAGTCCAGCTTCCCGAAGTCCCACTATACGGCCCCTATCAAACTCACTAAGTTGACGAAATCGTACAGGTCTCCGTACACTAGGTATCGTAACCGATCGTAAAGGATGTCAAGAACCAAAATCCGCCAACGTTGATTCTTTACTGCGGCTGAAATATTCATTTTTAGAGCGTTAGTGAATTAAAAGAAAGCAGTATAAAAACCGGAATGTCCAACTGATAAGGCTGAAAATTTTTTCACTTGTTATTTACAGTAAGATAAATACATTCACCAACTTTTATTAAAATAAAACCATTCAAACTGGGTGTTCGGATTTATATGTCACTTAGTATATATTAAATGTACTTTGATTAGCTTCATATCCATAATAGTAAAGATATGCTCATATTTCATGTTCTAACCCGGTAGAGTGTAGAATCCATTCCAAGAAAGATCGATGTCTGTTATAGTTTTGTTTTCCACGAGAATTTTTTCCAAAGTCTCGCCCGACTCTTCAGTCAGTTCATTATGACTAATATTTAACTTCTTCAAGGATGTTGTCTCGCAAAGACCTACTTGAATTAGTTTCAGTCCTTTGTCACCTAGGCTGTTGAAACTCAAATCTAGTTCTGACAAAAACTGAGAGCTTGAAAGTGCTTCGTTCAATTTTTCAGCACCTAAAAAAAAGCTTCCTAATATTGAATCAACGACCACCTATAAGTTAATTATGAGCTATTTCATCAATGGAATAAATTATGTGTATTGCTAAGGATCCTAGGTTTCAGGCTGAAGTAAACGGCCATACAAGACTGCGCAAAAGAACAAGTAGGAATGATATTGCAAATCAGTCGATCGCCAACTGATCAGGTATCCGGCAGCTATAAAGGCATTTAGGGATTGCGTGATCACTTGAAAAAGCTGGGAAACCGATACAAAGTAGCATTGCCTTGGTACCAGGATGTGAAGGACACAAAGGGAATAAAAAGGCAGATGAGCTAGCCCGAGCTGGATGCCTAGACGTATACAGGAGTGTACTCAGCTACGGGGCCGGCCAACATATTCATTTTTTTCTTATTACTTGTCAATAAAATTTCGTGAAAATGTTAACGTTGCATTCTTGATGTAAGGCTACCTCATTGCCAAAAAATCAAGTTGAAGAAATTATTTTTCTTGGGTGTCACTGAGTATATTAATCTGAAAACTGTAGGATCTTAGGCCCGTATCGTCAGTCGTCCCTACAATTGTAGGGCGCCTTTATGGCCTCCTTGATTGCCATAGTTTTCTACTTCTCCGTGTCAGCGCTCTATTTTGAGGTTATGTCACAAACATCTATTTGCATCAACTTGTGCTTGCTTTTGAGTTATATCATGTTTTATCAGCCTGAAATGACCTACAATTTAAAAAGAAAACATACCTTCACAATAGGAGAGCGCTGAGGCTGACACGGGACAAGTGTAATCTAGAAATTTTTGAAGGAGAGAAAGGAGTATGACAATCAAGGAGGCCATAAACGCGACCTACAATTGTAGGGACGACTGACGATACAGGCCTTAGTTATTTAATTATAATAAATATGGTTACCTGATTGCCCAATCCGGCATTCTCTCAAAGTCAAAACCCGCAATGCTCCATTTTCTTGCAGCATGCTGCTCAACATGTCAGTCATTTCAGGCGTCAGCCAGTTGTCTTGCAGTATCAAATGTTCAATGTAAGCATTGCCCTTTAGGGTCTCTGATATTGCTCGTATTTGTTTCTCGCTCAATCCATAAAACTAAAAATCCCTATAAATCTGTTATCATGAGATTAATTTAAGATAAATAATGAAGAACGGTATCATAGAAATCTTTGATGTAGCGAAATCAATATTGCTGACATATAAATCCGAACACCCAGTTTAAATGGTTTTATTTTAATAAAAGTTGGTGAATGTATTTATCTTACTGTAAATAACAAGTGAAAAAATTTTCAGCCTTATCAGTTGGACATTCCGGTTTTTATACAGCTTTTTTTTAATTCACTAACGCTCTAAAAATGAATATTTCAGCCGCAGTAAAGAATCAACGTTGGCGGATTTTGGTTCTTGACATCCTTTACGATCGGTTACGATGCCTAGAGTACGGAGACCTGTACGATTTCGTCAACTTAGTGAGTTTGATAGGGGCCGTATAGTGGGACTTCGGGAAGCTGGACTTTCTTTTCGGGCAATTGCAGTTAGAGTGCAAAGAAGTGTAGACACTGTGGTTAGGTGTTGTCAGGCATGGCTTCGAGAAGGCCGTACGCAAAGAGCAAGGGGCACTGGACGCCGCCGTAGAACAACAGACCGTGAAGATCGCCGCCTAAGATTATTGGACTCAAGGGACCGTTTCTCCACTACCAGGTCCATTGCAAATGAATGGTTTGCAGAACACGGAAGACCTATTGGCATGCGAAGTGTTTACCGACGAATGAGAAGTTTTGGCTTGTTTTCATACCGGCCACACTGGGTCCTCCCTTTAACTCGAGAACACCGACGTAATCGCCTTGAGTGGTGCAGACAACGGTCACTCTGGGATCAGGAATGGAACAGTATTGTCTTTAGTGACGAATCTCGTTTTTGTTTAGGTATGCACGATGGTCGTGCCAGGGTTAGAAGGCGACGTGGTGAAAGGAGGAATCCACAGTTTTTTGTTGAAAGACATGTTCATCACACTGTTGGAGTTATGGTTTGGGGTGCTATAGCTTATGGTTCCAGGTCACCTTTAATCTTCATCAGAGGTAACATGAACGCGCAGCGTTATATCCACGAAGTTCTAGAACCCCATCTTTTACCCTATCTTGACACCCTGGCAGATCTAACTTTCCAACAAGATAATGCCCGACCACATGTTGCAAGAGTCACAATAGACTTCTTTCAACATAATGATGTCACATTGTTACCATGGCCACCAAGATCTCCCGACTTATCTCCAATTGAGCACGTGTGGGATATGATGGGTAGGAGATTGCTCAATTTGCAACGTCCTCCTCAGACTCTAGAAGCACTTCGAGAGGAGTTGGTGGTTGCCTGAAATGAGATACCACAGGAGGACATTGACCACCTGATCAGAAGCATGCCTAGGCGCGTTGGAGAATGCGTAGCACATCAGGGTGCATCCACACATTATTAAAGGTCAAATGGCTTTAAAGCAGTGCAATCATTTTGAAATTTTTATCATTTACTTATTATGCTTCATTAAGTACTTATACAAAATTTTATTAAAATAAAACCATTTAAACTGGGTGTTCGGATTTATATGTCACTTAGTATATATATTTAGCTGGTCAAAATTAGATTTTGAAATAAAACAAATAATAATTTAGTACCTTGGACGCTGAAAAATTAACGTTCTTATACAGGGTGTATCAATTTCGAGTTCGAACATTGGGATCTCCCAAACGGTAAAAACGGTAAGAGATAAGTCGATTAAATGGAGTTAACAAAAAAAATGCTACACTTCAGAATTCCGAGTATTTCCGAAAAAAACCGAATTTTTACAAAATCGTTTTTATTTTTTCTTGACTTTATCTGAGATGGAACTTCAAAATGAAAAGTAGATTATCGTTTGCCACAATCCAATATGGCGTCTATAAGAAAAAAATAAGTTAATGATTAAGGGCAAGAGACGAGACGTCATATTGAAATTCCAAATCAGCTATCTTGTAGAAGGAAAAAATTGGCAAGTAAAAACGATTTTAGGAGAATTCTCTTTTTTCTTCTCCGCATATTCTCGTTTTTGCGAAACTTTCCAAGTGCCTTTTTTTAATTACCTGAATGCCTAACCTTGCCTTTATTTAACAGACTTAGTATCTCTTACCGAGATTTCAATGATGAAAGTAAAAATTAAAACACCTTGTGTATTTTGTGATCTTTTCTAGTTTGTTACGATTCAGGATATCGTTTGTTGGTTCGTTTCTGAAGAATTTTCCCCATAATCTATGTATACTTTATCTGAAGTCACTTGAAACACTGTGAAATACCGGGTGCGTTTTATATATCTATATTTAACACGCTCTGTTGCTGCAAAAATCGCCAAATTTCGCAGCAAATATCCCCCGTATAAGATCAAAGGCAGTTTCACCGCTCCACGTAGAGTAAAGCACGCCTATGCGTGGACATAGCCAATGAGAAAGCATGTATTTCAGAGCTCCGAACAAGTGCAGGTGGCTACTGAAAATTGAAACAGTTTAGCCAGTGCCGTGTAGCGGTGAATAAACGTGTTTTCTTTAGTCTGTCCGTTTTTTTTCATAGATTTTATTAGTTTGTGTGTTTTTGACTTTTGAATACTCAGTTTACTTGTTGATTTAATTGTTGTGTTGATTGTTCTTGTGTGTCCTAAATATGGCTCTTTGGAGACCTTGGGAAAATGCTCCAAGCCACGAGGAGATGGTTGATGAACCTGTGCAGGCAGAATTCTTTCATAAAGATTTAGAGGAAAAGACCCAAAGAGTAATCCTAAATATGTATGATTGTTTGAAAAACGAAAATCCAGATTCCTCGCAAAATCAAATTTTAAACAGAATTTGTATCCTGACAAAAATCAGTCGGTCTACCATTTATCGGGTTATAAAAAGGGGAGATGTAGTCAACCATTCCTTCCACAGAAAGCGCATAGGGCAAAAATTAAAAAGAATAGACGTGGGTTTTCAGGAAGATATTCCTCGTATAATATACGGATTTTATAAAGAAAATTTGGTGCCCACGTTGGAAATGATACGGGATAAATTAAAAGATTATCCTGAAGATTTTTATAATTACAAATGCTTAGACTCACTGCACTGTATTGTAAAATTGTGTGGTTTTCAATACAAAAAATTAGATAAAAGAGTGGTGATTATGGAGTCGTCTCGAATCGTTGAATTGCGCCAAGAATTTTTGCACAAAGTTAAAATCTATAGAGAGCAGAAAAGAAATCTGATTTACCTGGATGAAACGTGGAATGATACCCATGATGTTGTGCAGTACGGCTGGGTTGACGACAGCAACAAGTGCGTTTTAAATGCACCATGCAACCGTGGAAAACGAATCATTATTCTCCATGCTGGCAGTGAAAATGGATTTATACCTAATGCCTTGCTGTTATCTGCCAAAAATATCAAAGAATCATGTGCCGACTATCATGAGGACATGACCTCCGACTTATTTGAAAAGTGGATAGAGCAGCAGTTAATACCAAACATTTCCCCAAATTCAGTGATTATTATGCACAATGCGCCATACCATTCCCGACAGAAAAACAAAATTCCGAATACAGGTACAAAAAAACAAGACATTATTGATTTTATGAAGGATAAGGGAATGGAAATACCACAAAAATCAACCAAAGCCGTATTATTGGATCTTATTAAAAGACAAACATTTGAAAAAGAGTATGTTGTTGACAATCTGCTTCAGCAAAATGGCCATGAAGTATTACGTCTACCTCCCTATTACTGCATTTTTAACCCGATTGAGTTGGTCTGGGCTGCTTTAAAAAAAAAGTAAGAAAACATAATCAGACCCCTCAATTAAGTGAATCGCTATTGGCCACAATAAGAGATGCAGTATCTCATATTGCTGCCACAGACCTATGGAAGCAGTGTTCTAGGCATGTTATTGAAAAAGAAAATGAATATTGTGTTTTGCCTCCTGTAAATCCCGTTGTAATTCCTCTACAAGATGACTCTAGCGACAGCTCCGGAGGCGAGGATGATATATAAATACCTATAATGTAAGTCTTTATATACCTTTTTATATACCTACCTGCTATATAAATATTTGCCTATGTCAAACGTTGGAATTCTGTAATTTTTCCATTTCTTAACTTTCAGTCAACATAAATTAAACTCCCAATATAAGTATTTTTTATCCCAAATCAAAAAAATAAGAAGATAGTAAAATCCATTTATTGTGATATAAAAACATTATTATTATCGTTCTAAATAAATGACCGCACGCCTATGATACGTCATGAAATTACAAAGAACGCGCCGACCAAAGGTTTTTATGCTATTTCAAGTGACTTCAGATAAAGTATACTAACTTTTTTGCGAGGTAAATGTTTTGGCTTTTTCCCAAAATGGCGGCGCGAGCAGCAATGGTACAAAGTAGCAAAGTAAAAATTCAAATTTCACCTCAAATAGGTAGGTACTATGCTCTGCTTTTATGCGTTATCTTAGCTAGCGACGAAGCCTGGCCTGTGATGATGATTCCCAATAATAGTATTAGATTTTCAGTGCCAAGTGGTCGATTATGGTAATGCAGGGTGACTGATATATAACTGACTGGTTTGTATCTTGAATATTTGTGAAATAAAATGAAATACGTCCATTTTCTTCATCTTAATCTTCTATTGAAACTTAGAAATTATGTATGAAAAATAATATCAGACAAGTGTCCGCCTCTAGCAGCCGTGCAAACCTGAGCAATCTTGATTACATTTTCCTTCACTTTTTGGTATGTTCCGGGAGTAATATCTCCAATCGCTTCCGTAATGTTGTAGTGTGGTCTTGACTTCGATATTTTTTTAGAAAAAAATGGTACGCCAATGGTTTTTTGCCAAATAAAAATTATTTTTGAATTATCCGTTCAATTTAAAACAAATGATCTCTCTTGAATTGTTTTCCTTCGATGCGCCATTTTTGAGTAAAAAAATAAAAACCGTTCTATTGTCTAACTTGCAAAAGTATTATTAATTTAATTGGAAAAATTAAACACATTAGGGGTAATGAACAACAACAACTGACAACATAAACATAACATGAAAACCAACGAAATGATTACAAAAATCGTTGAAAATGGCCCCCTTCACTTAGTATGCATGCTTTCGCTCTCCTTCTCATGGAATTGCGCACTCGTTGAAATATCCGTGGAGTGTTTTTTTATTCTATCACAAGCTGCAACTATTCTTTCTCTTAATTCCTCTACAGTGTTAATGTGACTAGTGTCTTAAGATATCCGCACAAAAAGAAATCTAAACTGTTGAGGTCTGGGGATCTTGGTGGCCATTCTTGGGGCCCACCGCGGCCAATCCAACGATTTGGATAAACAGTTTGTAAATAATTACGAATCGCTACACTGAAATGCCGCTAGTGCACCATCATGCATGTACCACATATTGTTTCTTATTACTAACGGAACATCATCAAGCAGCAAAATTGAGGTAAGTCTGTCCGTCAAGTCGTCCCGGCAAGAAGAATGGACCAGTAAAGTGGTTGCCAATAATTCCTGTCCATACGTTAACCGAAAATTTGTGTTTAAAATGGGTTTCGGTTATGGCATGTCAAGATGTTAAAGGCCAGTGGCATATTCCACAACAACGTTACATAATGCCAAACATGCTTATGAACGAAAACTCGTTACCTCCAAAAATAAGAAGAAGCTGTTTCGGTATCTAAGAGCAAACCTGAATTCCAAAGTTTCATCACCTCAGATCCTCGACGCTGGCGGTCATCTCCACATGGATGCGACCGAATCTGCCAACTTACTGGCAGAGTCCTTTAGTGATGACTTCGTCGATGAGCCTAATGGAGACCTTCTACCGACCACTATCTGCCATAGGTGTCCCAACAGCCTTTGTGAAGTTGAGTTCCTGCCTGAAGATGTATTAATGCACCTGCGAAATCTGAAGACCTCTTCCTCCCCTGGTAAAGATGGGATGACGGCTGCTGTACTTAAAAACTGCGCTTCAGCACTGGCCCTACCATTAAGCTTGATATTCACATCGTCTTTTAGATATCATACCCTACCCTCATGCTGGCTTAGTGCTTCTGTTACCCCTGTATTCAAAAAGGGCGACAAATCCTCCGCTAAAAATTATCGACCAATAAGTCTCGTTCCTATCGCCGCCAAAATAGCTGAAAGAATCATATTAGATAGGCTCCAGTCATTTGCTTTCGAAAATGACCTTATCCCTAAGAATCAGCATGGATTTCTCCCTGGTCGATCAATAATGACCAACCTTCTCCACTCTCTCAACGATTGGACTCAGTATCTGGACACACAGACTCCTGTTGATATAATCTACTTAGATTTTTCTAGGGCTTTCGATCGCGTACCACATAGAAGGCTTCTGTTTAAGTTGGAATGTATGGGAATAAGAGGCGAGTTGTTACTGTGGATTAAGGCTTTTCTCACCGGGAGGACTTTCTCTGTGCGCGTCAGTGATAGCCAGTCTCACCTTCATCATGTAGCAAGTGGAGTTCCTCAAGGCTCTGTCTTGGGGCCAGTGCTGTTCCTTCTGTATACAAGTGACCTGCCCGCATTGATTTCCTCCACATGTTCAGCTTATGCCGACGACACCAAGATTTACAATACTATTGTAAATTCTGCTATGCTTCAACGAGATCTTGATATTGTTTGTCAATGGTCTGGTCAGTCAGTTGGCTTTTACCCTTAAATCTAACTAAGTGTTGTGTCCTTCACCTCGGGAAGATAAATCCGCGATTTACATACAAGATCTCTGACCACAACATCGAAGCAGTTTCGAGCCACACTGATCTGGGCGTTGTAGTCAACGATCGTCTTTCCTGGTCAGAGCATATTCACCACGTTACATCAAAAGCCAAGAAACTTCTATATATGCTGGAGAGGTCTTTCAAAGGATCCGATGTCAACACTTGCGCCTATATTTACAAGGCATTCGTGAGGCCAATTCTTGAATTCGCTGGCCCGGTATGGGACACTGTGCTTCTGTGCGATAGAAATCTCGTCGAATCAGTACAGCGTCGGGCTACTCGTATCCCTTTTGGAGCACAAAGACCAAGCTATGAAGATCGCCTTGTATTATTCAACCTGACCTCATTCTCTGAGCGAAGACTTCGTGGCGATCTTATAGTTACGTTCAGGATACTTCATGGTTTGATGGGTACCAACCTCATGCATCTATACCATCTGTCGCGCAGCAATCTACGCGGACACAGCTTCAAACTGCATAAGGAGCCATTTAAAACAACAGTCCGACAGTGGTTTGTTCCCAACCGCATACTCAACACCTGGAATAGTTTACCTGAAAGTGTGGTTGGTGCTACTTCAGTTAATAGCTTCAAAGTGCAGTATGATAGCTGGAGGAGTGTACAAACTTTACAGCTATGAACTGTATTTTTTTATTTTTTTCTATTTGATGTATTTGTGTTACGTGTCCGTACACTATATTTACTGCATGAGCTTATAGTACTGTGTACTCTGCTCATCTCAATTATCATAATAATAATAATAATAATAACTAGATATTTATTGCTAAATTGCATTCTTCAATTATTACATTAATTTTCTCGGACAATAGAACGGTCTTTATTTTTTTACTCAAAAATGGCGCATCGAAGGAAAACAATTCAAGAGAGATCATTTGTTTTAAATTGAAAGGGGTATACAAAAATAATTTTTATTTGTCAATTAATCATTGGCGTACCATTTTGTCTCAATAAATATCGAAGTCAATACCCGTACGCACGCCACTGTTAAAGCTAAAAAATATTTTTGCATTGAAAAATATGCAACTTTATCAACTTTCACTACGTACTGAAAATCAGTGAAATATCTGAAGCGGTTCTGAAAATATTAATTAATTTCCATTTTTTTCCTAAAACTTCAACACCCCGAGTTTTTGGACCATAGTTTATAAAGCAAACTAACATTATTTTTTTATGTAGATTCACACCCTTAAATATTCGCACGGCACGGGGTATTTAGTTGACTCTTGCGCTATCGTATTTTGATGCGATAGTTACTCGACTAAAGAGTTGACCTGATGATTGATTACCTTAAGGCTAAGATACCTACGGTATAACTTCATTACCTTCAAGTTCAAAATTGGAGACGTGAGGGATCTGGTCACCCTGGAGATAGGTACTATCTCGAGATCTTTACAAAGGTTAATGTACTTCTCTACTCCAATATCATCATATGTTGGATCCGGTTCTGGTAAAACAACAATAAAATATGGATTATGCCGAGGAAGATATGCAGGGTTTCACAAGTCTACCACCAAAACACACAAAAATTCGGTATCTTGCAGAAAAGCCACTACTTTTAAAAATGATTCCAACAAAAATAGTGCAATGAATTGCTTAGTTTTTGATAAATAATCAACTGACAGAGCTTTGTAAGAGCTACGAGCCCCTTCCCACTTCAGTTGGCCCACTTCAAGATTTGTACCAAAATATGCCTTTATAAACTAAACATGACGAAACTATTTATACTAAGTGACATATAAATCCGAATACCCAGTTTAAATGGTTTTATTTTAATAAAATTTTGTATAAGTACTTAATGAAGCATAATAAGTAAATGATAAAAATTTCAAAATGATTGCACTGCTTTAAAGCCCTTTGACCTTTAATAATGTGTGGATGCACCCTGATGTGCTACGCATTCTCCAACGCGCCTAGGCATGCTTCTGATCAGGTGGTCAATGTCCTCCTGTGGTATCTCATTCCAGGCAACCACCAACTCCTCTCGAAGTGCTTCTAGAATCTGAGGAGGACGTTGCAAATTGAGCAATCTCCTACCCATCATTTCCCACACGTGCTCAATTGGGGATAAGTCGGGAGATCTTGGTGGCCATGGTAACAATGTGACATCATTATGTTGAAAGAAGTCTATTGTGACTCTTGCAACATGTGGTCGGGCATTATCTTGTTGGAAAGTTGGATCTGCCAGGGTGTCAAGATAGGGCAAAAGATGGGGTTCTAGAACTTCGTGGATATAACGCTGCGCGTTCATGTTACCTCTGATGAAGATTAAAGGTGACCTGGAACCATAAGCTATAGCACCCCAAACCATAACTCCAACAGTGTGATGAACATGTCTTTCAACAAAAAACTGTGGATTCCTCCTTTCACCACGTCGCCTTCTAACCCTGGCACGACCATCGTGCATGCCTAAACAAAATCAAGACTCGTCACTAAAGACAATACTGTTCCATTCCTGATCCCAGAGTGACCGTTGTCTGCACCACTCAAGGCGATTACGTCGGTGATCTCGAGTTAAAGGGAGGACCCAGTGTGGCCGGTATGAAAACAAGCCAAAACTTCTCATTCGTCGGTAAACACTTCGCATGCCAATAGGTCTTCCGTGTTCTGCAAACCATTCATTTGCAATGGACCTGGTAGTGGAGAAACGATCCCTTAAGGCCAATAATCTTAGGCGGCGATCTTCACGGTCTGTTGTTCTACGGCGGCGTCCAGTGCCCCTTGCTCTTTGCGTACGGCCTTCTCGAAGCCATGCCTGACAACACCTAACCACAGTGTCTACACTTCTTTGTACTCTAACTGCAATTGCCCGAAAAGAAAGTCCAGCTTCCCGAAGTCCCACTATACGGCCCCTATCAAACTCACTAAGTTGACGAAATCGTACAGGTCTCCGTACTCTAGGCATCGTAACCGATCGTAAAGGATGTCAAGAACCAAAATCCGCCAACGTTGATTCTTTACTGCGGCTGAAATATTCATTTTTAGAGCGTTAGTGAATTAAAAAAAAGCAGTATAAAAACCGGAATGTCCAACTGATAAGGCTGAAAATTTTTTCACTTGTTATTTACAGTAAGATAAATACATTCACCAACTTTTATTAAAATAAAAGCATTTAAACTGGGTGTTCGGATTTATATGTCACTTAGTATACTATATATTATAAAAATATTCATTGTTAATATTTAAAAACCTATAACACCCTGCTACATTTTTATTATTTGTGTTCGATAAGAAAAAAACTGAAAGGGCAGTCATTTGGAATTTTTTAAGACTATCCCGTTTTATTATATTTATTATTTTATTTTTTTGTATGTGACCATTTAATAAAATTGAACATAAATGGAATATACATAGTTTGTCCTTAATAAAATCGAATAATTTAGTTACCTAGAATCATTAAAAAGTTCATTACGGGTGAGGGAAATTTTACAGAAGAACTCCTTAATTGACAACGTTTTCTCAGTGTGAATACCTCTCCAGAGAAACAAATGTACTCCGAAGAATTGGATTGCCACTTCGATATTCAATGGTAGATAATTTAATAAATAAATAAATAGCGTTTATTGACAAACAGTTAAGGAAACAATTAACAGGACAATTCTAAGATAAGTCAAAATAACAAGAACAGAAAACACATAAAAAGCATTTGATTTCATCTAGAGAAAAAAACAAACAAGAAAAAGAAGCAAAAAACATATTTCACTCAGGTGAGTGACCTATCATAAATTATCCAAGCAATTTCTAGCTACTCAAAGAATACTGTTCAAACTGTCAACATGTATACTAAGTGACATATAAATCCGAACACCCAGTTTAAATGGTTTTATTTTAATAAAAGTTGGTGAATGTATTTATCTTACTTAAATAACAAGTGAAAAAATTTTCAGCCTTATCAGTTGGACATTCCGGTTTTTATACTGCTTTTTTTTTAATTCACTAACGCTCTAAAAATGAATATTTCAGCCGCAGTAAAGAATCAACGTTGGCGGATTTTGGTTCTTCACATCCTTTACGATCGGTTACGATGCCTAGAGTACGGAGACCTGTACGATTTCGTCAACTTAGAGAGTTTGATAGGGGCCGTATAGTGGGACTTCGGAAAGCTGGACTTTCTTTTCGGGCAATTGCAGTTAGAGTGCAAAGAAGTGTAGACACTGTGGTTAGGTGTTGTCAGGCATGGCTTCGAGAAGGCCGTACGCAAAGACCAAGGGGCAGTGAACGCCGCCGTAGAACAACAGACCGTGAAGATCGCCGCCTAAGATTATTGGCCTTAAGGGACCGTTTCTCCACTACCAGGTCCATTGCAAATGAATGGTTTGCAGAACACGGAAGACCTATTGGCATGCGAAGTGTTTACCGACGAATGAGAAGTATTCGAGAACACCGACGGCGACGTAATCGCCTTGAGTGGTGCAGACAACGGTCACTCTGGGATCAGGAATGGAACAGTATTGTCTTTAGTGATGAGTCTCGATTTTGTTCAGGCATGCACGATGGTCGTGCCAGGGTTAGAAGGCGACGTGATGAAAGGAGGAATCCACAGTTTTTTGTTGAAAGACATGTTGGAGTTATGGTTTGGGGTGCTATAGCTTATGGTTCAAGGTCACCTTTAAATCTTCATCAGAGGTAACATGAACGCGCAGCGTTATATCCACGAAGTTCTAGAACCCCATCTTTTACCCTATCTTGACACCCTGGCAGATCCAACTTTCCAACAAGATAATGCCCGACCACATGTTGCAAGAGTCACAATAGACTTCTTTTAACATAATGATGTCACATTGTTACCATGGCCACCAAGATCTCCCGACGTATCCCCAATTGAGCACGTGTGGGATATGATGGGTAGGAGATTGATCAATTTGCAACGTCCTCCTCAGACTCTAGAAGCACTTCGAGAGGAGTTGGTGGTTGCCTGGAATGAGATACCACAGGAGGACATTGACCACCTGATCAGAAGCATGCCTAGGCGCGTTGGAGAATGCGTAGCACATCAGGGTGCATCCACACATTATTAAAGGTCAAAGGGCTTTAAAGCAGTGCAATCATTTTGAAATTTTTATCATTTACTTATTATGCTTCATTAAGTACTTATACAAAATTTTATTAAAATAAAACCATTTAAACTGGGTGTTCGGATTTATATGTCACTTAGTATATATCACAATAATTTGATATTGCATTGAAAGTTTCACACATCACATATATGGGTGCCTTCAAAAACAAATTTGTGCGAGCCCTGTCACAATAAAATGTTTTAGCTGTACGAGTTTGAATAGATGGAACATTAAAGTTTATTTGAGCCACAATCCCATTAGCATCAATTTGAGTGTGCAGTAGTTTATGCAAGAACATAATTGATGCACACTTCCTTCTCAGTTCTAAAGACTGCACTTGAAACCTAGACAGTAACAAACTTTCAGATATACCACGTTCAGGATATACAGGGTGACTTTGAAGATGACTCATTAATTTTCAGATAATGATTGTAGAAGGAAGATAAACCAAAATATGTGTGTAAAAATAAAAAAAAAAATAAAAAAAAATGTACCTTGTTTTATAAAGTATCCTCCCGACAAGTATTTCAGTGCGGACCTGTATTTGATCGTGAGGTCTTGGAGCACCGGCATGCCGTCTTAAGTCACCTGATTCACGAGCCCGTTGTACTACATTAACAAAGGCACGAGGGGTTGGTTGCACTCGATTGGGAAACCGATCCGCATAAACATGTGCCATTTTTTATTTCGTTTGAGCCACGCAACAGACACTACTATTCACTGACGCGTTACCGACTGTACACTGAGTGTATACAACACAACTGAATAAAATAATTGTAAAAACATCGTTCCAAATTCTTTCGCTTTTTTGTTTCCGATGCGATGAACCGATGGCGGATTATATCCGTTGTCGCCAAACACGAGCACATAATATTATCATTGAGACAGGGCGGTACTCAAACTTCCAAAGGGCTATAACTTTGTTACTTTAATTTTACCAGAAAAATGGTAAAGGAAAAAAACATTTCTTTTGATCAGATCTACTCACTGTTAAAATAAATGACTCAACTTCGCAGTCACCCTGTATACCGTCAACTCTAAAAGATAAACATTTTAGAAACTTTCTTTGAACATGCTCAAGGGAATCAATGTAGCAGTTGTAAATTTCGATCTAACAGAATGCAAAACCAACAGTGACTCTGGGCGGCTAAAGCTTCTACAGTTTTTCACAATAAAACCGTACGCCCGCGAAGCTTCACTCACCTTTTGAGCTATGTTGAGTGAAAAATTAAGTTTATGGTCAAAAACTACACCCAAGTCCTTAATTGAGTTATGTCAGCATCCCCAATTTTGTAATTAAATTTACAAGCAGAAGTATTTCTGGAAAAGCTGACTATACTACACTTAGACGCATTAAGAAATAGATTATTCTCGTCACACCAAGGTAATAGAGAATCAATATCACGCTGAAATGCAATACAATCAGTCTCAGACTCAATAATCCTGAATAATTTTAAATCATCCGCAAAGAGGAGCTTATTACAACTTATATACTGCACAACATCATCAATAAATAAGGTAAACAATAAAGGACCAAGATTTGAACCCTGAGGCACTCCCGGTTTAGTTATACAGGGTGTTTCAGTTTATTGTTGCATAACTTTAAGATTCGATAGAACCTTTAAAATTAATGCATAAAGTTTATATAAACATGGATCGAAAAATGCGTAGCTTCCGAAATACAGGGTGTTTAAATTTACTTTCTAAAATAGTTTGTTTTAAATATTTCGAACAATATTTTATGTATAACAGTGAAAATTGGTATATAAGGATTTTTTGGTACGAAAAAACGAACCATGGGCATAGTTTTACAGTAGCCGCTAGACGGCGCTCACTACTGTACCTGTAAAATGACCGAACATTTTTTCTTAGCGAAATTTTTTGCTTTTTGAATAAAGAAACTGATTCTTCGCATTTTTCAACATATAAAAGCTCTCATCTGACTTTTCGTTATAGTTAGCCGTTTTTGAGATATTTCGATTTTTAAGGTTCGAAGCATTTTTTATTATTTATGGGAAAATAATATTTTTTTTACATTTTCGATTTGGGCATTACAAGTAATTAAGGTGATCGTTTAGATTGTGTTTTGAAACACAGCAATAATTCCTAACTCCAAATAAACACAAAAAACAGAATATTAATTTGTATAATTTTCCAATATTATTTTTAACAAATTAAATTAATTATTTACAACTAAAATGCTATTGGATAGTTAGGACAAATATACAAAATCTAAAGTAGTTGCTCGAAATGTAAACCCAATTGTTCAATACACAATTCACATCTACGAAGGATCGAACGTGGTATATCATTATTCAAATAAGGCCTTATTTCATCACATGCATTCCTGATTCTGTCTATTAGCATATCTCTTGTGGTTACGGGAGTCTGGTACACTTTTTCTTTTAGAAATCCCCACACAAAGAAATCTAATGGATTTAGGTCAGGGGATCGTGGAGGCCAGGCGACTGGTCCTCCACGGCCGATCCATCTTTCTGGATAATTTTCGTCCAGCCAGTTTCTAACTATTCTCAAATAATGAGCTGGACAACCATCAAGCTGGAACCAGGCCAATCTTCTTAAATCTAACATAACATCATCCTACATATTTGCATGTTCAGCCTTTACAAATTCCAAGAAGGTCGCAGCAGTAGGGTCCCAATAGTCGATTACGATAGATACCAATCCACACGTTCACACTAAACTCATGCTGAAAATTTCTTTCCCGAACTGCATGCGGATTTTCATGCGACCAAATATGTTGATTATGAACATTTACCACTCCACGTCTAGTGAAGCATGACTCATCGGTCCATAAAACGTTACTTAAATACTCCCTATTATTATCAGTTCTATCAAGAATCCACTGACAAAATGTGATTCTTCGTTCTCCGTCCCATGGCTGTAGTCCTTGCACAGGTTGCAAATGGTAAGGACGTCTATGGTCATTTCTAAGAACACGGTGAACATGGCTTGCTGAAATTCCTAAGGCACCAGAAACTCTCCTAACACTTGTAGTCGGATCTCTATCAAACTCACGCAGAATCATACGGGTAAATTTGCGCTGACGAACATTTATGTTTTGATCCCTTTGGAGATTTCCAAAACCATTTTCAAATATTTGGCGATGCACTCTTACAAATACTGAGCGAGTTGGATGTCGTCTGTTTGGAAATCTTCGTGCGTATTCTCTGGCTGCTTCTGCTGCGTTTCCATTTACAAAGCCATACACAAAATGAATATCCGCTAACTCTTGATTGGAGAATAAAAATGGAATTCTTATAAAACTTACAAAAAAAAACAGGTAAAAGAAACTAAATTTCGTGCAATCACAATTGCAAAGAAAACGTTTCAGGTTTCAACAGACAACAAAACTAACTGTCAACTAATTGACGTTTAACCTTATTCTGCCTTCAATTTCAAAAATATTTGCAGGCACAGCCTACTTCTAAAAACTATCGAGATACTGACTTTTTAACCTCATTTTATCATAAATAATTAAAAATGCATCGAACCTTAAAATCGAAATATCTCAAAAACGGCTAACTATAACGAAAATTCACAAGAGGGATTTTTTATGTTGAAAAGTGCGAAGAATCAGTTTTTTATTCAAAAAGCAAAAAATTGCACTAAGAAAAAATTTTCGGTTATTTTAATACACTACAGGTACAGTGGAGAGCGCCCTCTAGCGGCTACAGTAAAACTATGCCCATGGTTCGTTTTGTCGTACCAAAAAACCCTTGTATACCAATTTTCACTGTTATACATCAAATATTGTTCGAAATATTTAAAAAACACTTGAACAAATATATGTACTAAAACTACACAATTTTGGCGACAAACAATACAATGTAAACATACAGTGAAATCCATATACCATAGACGTCGTAATGTGTACGAGAGAGAACCGTGCAATACGTATGTTAGAAAGAGATAGAATCACCACGTTGCCTAGCAACCCAAGTGACTAAGCGACGGACTCAGCTGCGGCTTGTCGCATTGCCATCGACATCTTGGGTCTAACAGTAACCTAACCTAATGTACGAGCTTCCGCCTTACCGTTTCTAGGCAATGAGGAGATTACCTTTGCGCTTCAGCCTGCTTCTATCTCTTTCTAACATTCGTATTGCACGCTGTCGCACATATTAGCTCGTCAGTGATATTTGGATATCTCTGTATAGGCTTTCTACTTGTAACCCATTCGAATTCGTTTTTATGTTCAGAAATACCGGCATAATCAAAGACCGCATCAATCCCAGGATCCTCCAATGGCGGAAAAAGAAACGCTATATTCCTCATAAGAGAACTGTGAGATAACTGCACTTGTGCCAAGCATCGGAAAGACCATGTGTTCTTCAGCAACAGAGTTTGGCTGTCCTTGCATTCTCTGGTGAAGTCTAGCATATCGGCCTCCGCGATGTCGTCGAAATTGAGGCCATCTTCGCCGAACTCATCATCGAAGTCACTTTGGGGCCGTTGCTGTTCTCGCTCTTGGTCATCCATACTGATTAATGAATTTGGCCCACCACACAGAAATAATGATAGTCAAGAGGTCCTCGAATAATTTGGAAACACGGGAGGATTTCCACCCAAAATACAGACTGTCAACAGAATGACCTATTTGTGTCAATGTTAGGCGGTGTTAACATAATATACTGAACGACACTAGCGGTATAGAATACAGGGTGTTCCTTTTTTTTATACTCCAACTACCACGAAGGCCTAAGGCCTAAGCACCCATTGGGTACCGTGGGGCTATAGAGGGATACATGGGAAAGGGGGAACGCCACACGGACTCTGGAGAGGTAACACGTGTACATGCAACATGCACACATTCTGGCTCCGCCGGGTGGTACCTCCGCGTTCGACAGTCAGAGACCGTCTACCCCCTACGGACAATCACAACATCCATAGCAAAGAGAAAAACTTCTCCTGGGACGGGACTCGAACCCGCACAGCGCACGGCGACTGATCAGGAGACCGAAGAGTCTGCTGCGGCCACCGCTGATTGAAAATGGCCACCATGACTCTAGATGCAATAGTAAAGATTTTGCTCAAAACGTGGCCGCACATTTTGCAATATTTGAGGAGTAATTTGAAGGCACTCGTTCACAATTCTTTGTCGCAGGTCTTGTAATGATGTTGGCTGAGTAGCATAGATTTTGCTTTTTAAATGACCCCACATAAAGAAATCCAAAGGTGATAAATCTGGCGATCTTGGGGGCCATTCAATGGCACCTCTTCTACCTATCCATCGATCTGGAAACGTCTGATCTAAATATTGTCGAACACGTAATGCGTAATGTGGTGGGGCACCATCCTGTTGGAACGTCAACCTATTCGCAATGTACCGCCAATCATTCTGATTTTCAATTATAGCTGTTAATGTAGGATCTATGGCGTCTTCCAGTAATTCCAAATACATTTCACCGGTCAAATTTCCAGGTAAGAAAAAAGGACCAACTAAATGATCGCCAAAAATACCAGCGCAAACATTTAATTTTTGTGGCTGCTGTGTATAAACCTCATGACAAATTCTGGGATTAGAATCGGACCAATATCGGCAGTTATGACGATTTGCTATGCAATTTAAGATAAAGGAACATTCGTCGAAAAAGCAAGTGTTGATAGAAAATGTCCATCGTTTATAATTCGTTCACTCATATCTTCACAAAATTGTAATCGCCGATCCAATGCAACTTCATTAACTTTCACTACGTACTAAATATCAGTGAAATATCTGAGGCGGTTCTGAAAATATTAATTAATTTCCATTTTTTTCCTACAACTTCAACACCCCGAGTTTTTGTAAGGAAACATTTTTGGACCATCGTTTATAAAGCAAACTACCATTCATTTTTCATTAATTTAACACCCTTAAATATTCGCATATCATTAAGGAACACCCTGTTTAAAGGGATACTATACTATAACTATCTAAAACTGTAATGACTCATCGATGTTCACGTGAACATCACTTAACTACCAGTAGTCGGCTGTTCATAGGCGGGGTATGAATGTTTAACATGGGTGAACTAGATTTGTCACATGCTTATTAAAGAGTGGTTTGAAACTTATTGTAACTCAAAAATTTGGGAATTACCTTTATTCATCATCGCTTCCACTTACATCTGACAGTAATAAACTGTCGCTATCGCTTTCCTCGTTGAAATTGACTATAACTGGCTCTATGATGGTGTCGATGTGGTGGTCAAGCTGCCACATTTTTGTTTCTTCCATCACAACATGACGGATAGCATTCTGCCAAGCTGTATGGAAGTCTCAAGTATAACCTTAACGTCTGGTAATTTGAACGTTGTGTTATGGCGCGCAATATAACCCTTCACTTCAGCCCAGATGAGCTCTATTGGGTTCAGTTCACAGTGGCGGTAACCGCAGCACAGTGACACCACATTGACGGGCCATCTCATCAGTCACGTAACTAATGTTCGCAGGTTTGTGCTGTTTAATTTTTTCATACAATTCCGCTTTCACACATGAATTGTCAAACGTGATTCCTTTTTCGCGCAACCATTGCTGCATGTCACTTTTTCGAGATCCCATAGTCGGTACACGTTCGGCTCGACGACTATGGTAGGAAGCATTATCCATGACGATCACAGAGTTGGGCTCAACTCGCTGAAGCACCCCTTGAAACCAGCTCTCGAAGCAGCTGGCATTCATTTCGTCATGGTAATCACCTCCTTTCTTAGAGACGAAAATCAAGTCACACTCTTCTAAAAAGCCACTATCACTACCAATATGAGTTACGATCAATCTTTGACCTTTCCCTGACGGTCCACGAAGACCTGTTGACAAACCTTCAATGCTTGCTTGTCGGTTACTCACTACGTTTTTGTCTATCCAGGTTTTTTTAACTGTGTGACCTGCATTTACACATGTCTCGTCCAAATAATAGATTTTTCTGCTTTGTCGCCTATATTCAATCCTTTCGCGTAGATATTTTCGACGCCAGGCGACTATTTCAGGTCTCTTTATCAATACTGACTTCCGATTACGCGTTTCGTAACGAAAATTAATTTCGTGCAGGGATTTCCTCATTACCTCGACGCTCATTTGGGGTATAATGTCATTTTCCTTGATCGCTGCATGTACAGCCTTGAGGGTTGGTATCTCATTCCTAAAGAAGAATGAATGTACGGTTCGCCTTAACGCCATTTTGCTATCGTCATCAAATTTAACGGCCTTTCGTCCCTTCAAATTAAACTTTGGATCAGTAGTAGCTCCAGTTTTCTTCTTTTCATGCACCACCCTGCGAATGGTCCACTCTGGAACGCCTGTCATACTTTCACAACGCGCGAGTGCATCTCCCTGCGACATAGTTCTGTTCAGATAATTGAACACGTTGAGCACGATTTCTTTCGCGTCCCTCTTCAGTGCTTTACGAAGCCGTCTACTTGTTCCCTGGCTTTCAGTACTTCCACTCGTGCCATTTGTACTCTCCATGGTTAAGTATAACCAAAACAGTAACCACAGAAACCACAACAATAACAATCACACAACAATTCTTATAAAAACACACAATACGCGATCGCTCAACGAAAAACGTTCCAATGCGTTGCCGACGCCTATGAGTCTGCCGGTCGAGGCGCGTCTTTGATTTCATTGGTTCTACCGGCGGAGAACAATCAGCCATTATTTCCATCTCTGTCTGTGCTGTTGACCACCGCAAAGCCACAGAAACGACATATGTCGTACGCTATACGGCTGTACTGGAAGGAAGCCGGGATCGAGCTCTGATCACGTGTTGATCACGCGTATGAGTCATTACAGTTTTAAATAGTTGTTGTTATAGTCGTCTTACTTTGACCCGCCAAGAACGGTGACTATAACTATATCACGTATCTTCAGACTCAAAATAAGTCCAATGGACATGATTTACCTCTACGCTTCATTTGAAGGAGTCAAAAGTTTTTTTTCTGAAACACATTTTTCCACATATTTTAAGAACCGATAGCCCGATTTGAATTAAATTTGGAACAGTTGTTTCGCTAGACGTCCTAATATTTGACTCCTATAAGAGACCTGAAAGGATTCGAGAAGGGTTCACCCTACCCCCACCCCTACATAAATTATAGCAGAATTTTTTTTTCGCAACTTTCCCGACGACTCTGATTTTTTTATTATCAGATCATTTTATTTATTTCATTTTCTGTCTCTTATCTAAGCAGGCCATCTCGGATAGTTTTCTGGGAAAAAAATAAGTTGCATCACGGGATGTCCACGCGTCTCTAAGTGTAGTTATTTAGCGAAAATAAGCAAGTAGTGCACATAAGAATACGGCGCAAAAAATATAGTTAACTTTATTTAAAATGTCATTTTTCTTTAATGTATACTAAGTGACATATAAATCCGAACACCCAGTTTAAATGGTTTTATTTTAATAAAATTTTGTTTATGTACTTAATGAAGCATAATAAGTAAATGATAAAAATTTCAAAATGATTGCACTGCTTTAAAGCCCTTTGACCTTTAATAATGTGTGGATGCACCCTGATGTGCTACGCATTCTCCAACGCGCCTAGGCATGCTTCTGATCAGGTGGTCAATGTCCTCCTGTGGCATCTCATTCCAGGCAACCACCAACTCCTCTCGAAGTGCTTCTAGAGTCTGAGGAGGACGTTGCAAATTGAGCAATCTCCTACCCATCATATCCCACACGTGCTCAATTGGGGATAAGTCGGGAGATCTTGGTGGCTATGGTAACAATGTGACATCATTATGTTGAAAGAAGTCTATTGTGACTTTTGCAACATGTTGTCGGGCATTATCTTGTTGGAAAGTTGGATCTGCCAGGGTGTCAAGATAGGGTAAAAGATGGGGTTCTAGAACTTCGTGGATATAACGCTGCGCGTTCATGTTACCTCTGATGAAGATTAAAGGTGACCTGGACCCATAAACTATAGCACCCCAAACCAAAACTCCAACAGTGTGATGAACTTGTCTTTCAACAAAAAACTGTGGATTCCTCCTTTCACCATGTCGCCTTCTAACCCTGGCACGACCATCGTGCATGCCTAAACAAAATCTAGACTCGTCACTCAAGACAATACTGTTCCATTCCTGATCCCAGAGTGACCGTTGTCTGCACCACTCAAGGCGATTACGTCGGTGTTCTCGAGTTAAAGGGAGGACCCAGTGTGGCCGGTATGAAAACAAGCCAAAACTTCTCATTCGTCGGTAAACACTTCGCATGCCAATAGGTCTTCCGTGTTCTGCAAACCATTCATTTGCAATGGACCTGGTAGTGGAGAAACGGTCCATTAAGGCCAATAATCTTAGGCGGCGATCTTCACGGTCTGTTGTTCTACGGCGGCGTCCAGTGCCCCTTGCTCTTTGCGTACGGCCTTCTCGAAGCCATGCCTGACAACACCTAACCACAGTGTCTACACTTCTTTGCACTCTAACTGCAATTGCCCGAAGTCCCACTATACGGCGCCTATCAAACTCACTAAGTTGACGAAATCGTACAGGTCTCCGTACTCTAGGCATCGTAACCGATCGTAAAGAATGTCAATAACCAAAATTCGCCAATGTTGATTCTTTACTGCGGCTGAAATATTCATTTTTAGAGCGTTAGTGAATTAAAAAAAGCAGTATAAAAACCGGAATGTCCAACTGGTAAGG